TTCTACGCTATAATATCCCTCATTAGTTAATAGCTCCTTTATTTGTTTTTTAAATGGTATAATATGCAAATCTTTAATATCTTGAAGCAACGTATTGAATAATATTATGCCATTATATGCAAGTGATTCCTTGAATGTTGTTGTTTTATGTTTTGGGATAGTTAATAAATGTCTATTTTGTGTTGCATAGTTATAAACTATTGATTCATATCTCAGATTAGGTACATAATTTTTCATATGAATCAGTGAAAAAAGCTACATATAGACTTAGATTTTGTCCAAGACAGATGCAGATTTTAGCCTCCGAAACGTACAATTTCTTAGCTTTCCATTTGATGAATACGACGAGTTACTGATGATACTGATAGGAACGCTAGAAACTATTTTAGGAACAAATTGTAATACAGATAATGTACTTTCGTTCATAGAAGCTATTCATATCAAAAACAAATTGTAAATATGCTTGTAAAATACTGTTCGCTAATAACCAAAATGGTTGATGCGATTAAATAAAAAAAAAAAAGAACATTTTTCTTTGCGAAAAAATCTATCAATTTACGCAGTAAGTTTTATCGGGGTAAACCAGAAAGTTTGTATTTTCTACACTTTTATAAAGTTCTCCATCATAATTTTCATATTTTTCAGATTGTGGAAGATGAAAATACCCAAAGAAGTTCGATAAAAACGCATATTATAGTTATGGATTTTTCGAGCAATCGAGAACTCTAATCCTAAGCTGTTATTACATGAAATATCAGAAAAACTGGCCAACCACCAACTACGTATACATTTCCATACTCTGCGCTTTTATCCGAAGAAATCAAGCGGGAAACAACATACCTTACCATGTTTCAATTAAATCACCCGGACTACTTTTGAATACCTACAGTTGATCAGTGTATTCCAATAAATCAGGGATTTCCTGTAATTTGTTTGAGTAAGTTCTATTGACGAACTTTAAAATCGAGGTAATCTTTCCTCTCTATTGCGCTTGTCGACTCTAAATCTCCTAGACAGTGGCGTTCTCAGATTATTCTCCTAAAGGTGACAATAAAATGTGTCAATGTCATAAATATTCAGCATTAGCGACTCGTACTGGCTTGGCACGTCATATCTCAAGCAAGTTTCACAAAAGATCAGTGAACCATACATGGATGGATAATTAAACAACTCAAGACTGGTTTGTTCGGGGCGCCGAAACCGTACCATAGACGACGCCGCTACCCCCACTCGCAAAACCGCGATCCTCCTCACGACCCCGCCAATGCGTCAAGGGTGAGTATTGATCGGTGCAATGTCGAGGGTAAACCTCGTCGGTATCGACTGTGGAAGAAAAACAGTCGTCACTCGACGTCCGTCGCTGTTTGAACCGCGTTCCGGTATACCGGCCAAAATAGCGTGACTCGCGATGAAGTCGTGACTCGAGTGGCCTCTCTGAGACCGAGGTTAGCTTTTAGTGTGACCGAGATGTCGATATCGGCCCAAGGGGTTGTCGAGAGGGCCTCGGCCGAGCTGACGAAGCGCATCAACGGGCTCGGCCTCAGGAGCGGAAAACCCCACGTCTCCAAGGGCAGCAGTGTCATGGAGAGGGTGACCAACGTCTTCTGCGGCGGAGGCAGCAATAACGCTAGCTTCGGTGGGTATATATCGACGTTTCAGTCGTTTGTTTTTGTTTTTGCGTTCGGTTCAAGGGAATTAGATCGATATCGGGTTATTATTTTTTGTTTATTTCCTCGAAAGCTGTAAAATTATGAAAAAGTTGAAGTTGAGACCGGAGTTTTACAGCGCAGCGATAAAACTGACGTGCATGAAATTGACATCTATGAGTCATTAATGAAATTGGTTTAAGTTGATTCTTATACACTTCATTGCCCGTTTTTTAAACTCAAACTTTGTTATTTTCGAGCAATTCCAATCGAGCAACTAGCAATAGAAAATGGAAATTTATTGATCAAATTTTAATGTCTTGCTATTCTACTCTCGATTTTTGAAAAAATTGAAGACTAACCTACCACAGCGATAAATCGTTTCTTGACAACAGCGACAATATTGACAGTCATGAAATTAACATCTAGGTGTGATTAATCTTGTTTGTAGAGATCAAATCATGAGGTGTAGTTTGTGGAAAAATGAGAATCTCTCTGAGTTTTCAAGTTATATGTTGGTCTGTGTGAAGTTCTGTGGGAGAGGTTAAGGTTTTTGGGACATTTTTATCACGTGATACGTTGAGATTTGTTTTTTTGTTGATGAGTATTTTTTACAAAAAAAAAACTGTGGAGGCGGAGTTTGGTCAGAAAGTTTTGGTGTTTGAAGGATGCTGTTTCCAATTAACGATTCCAAGTTTTTCTGCGAGCGAGTGTTATATTTGTTTATATTTACTCACTGAAATTATATGAAATTTATGTAAAATAATGACATTAATGTTACGTAAAAATCAGGTTGTATATGTGGAAGACACTTCGCCATAACAGGGATGTATGTTTTACATATCATAGTTACATAACACGTATTATCAGTTATAAATGAAAAAAGCTTTCACATAATTATTGATTCTAAGGGAAGCTGCAGTAACTATTAAAAGATCTGACAATTCTGCATATAGTTTTACCTGAATTGATTTTTCTCAATGGGGTAGCAAAGAGATCAAGGTTTCGCAAGTTTCTACAAGACGTATTCGATAAAATTTTAGACAGTCGACACGATTATTAAATATTTTTTGTACAACATGTACATATATTTGACATTTTTCTCCTATCTGTAAGAGATAACGGAATATTTTTGAAAACTGGACGAAGATCATTGATGATAGGTATGTCTGTTCTACGCGCTAATTGTATGACGAATTTATTTTGAACACTATCAAATTCTCTGTTCGTAAATCGTATATTGCAGAGTAATATAGATTCAGCAGGGTTTTTGCATTTATGAAATGTCTTGTATTTCTGATAATGAATCCCAATAAACAATCACACATATTAATGGTTTTGTCTATTACTCCTAAATCGAGTACTTCATTTACTGACTCAATTGTATAATTTACCATTTGGTATCGAAAATCACTGGTTATTTTGCAATCTCCCATAGTTTTGGATTCCTTTGATGGTCCGCATATAGTAAAAAGTTGTTATTCAAATCCTTCAACAATATTGTTGATATAAATTATAAAGAACAATGGTCCCAAGTGACTCCCCCGTGGCACACCTGATGTAATCACATAATGTGTAAACTATATTAAATTAGTATCAATGGATCCACAGGTGAAAAAGCTTTGTTGTTCTATCATCTTATTTTGCATATGACCTGAATTGATTCCATGCACAATTTTTCCAAACAATTTTCTACTGCATAGAAACGAATTTTTCAAAGAAATATTCATTTTCTTAGTACGTTCATACCCCTCCTCGACACAGTCAAGATTGAAATTTGATTTTCGTAACGACCTTCCTCTTCCGATTGTCGCCCGACTAAATCAATTAACTCCGTCGTGAAAACAGCCTTCCTACAACACCCTCTCGAACTAATTCCCTCGAAAGAACTTTCGCACCTCATCGAACGTGAGGTAACTAGATTTAACCGCCGTCCTAAGAGGCCCGATAGCGTGCAGCTAAAAGCCGAATCGCAGTCTGTAATTCAATTAACGCTATCGTTACAGGCGCCCCCGAGAAGCCGTCGAGACTCCTGCCCTCGAGGGGGCTCTTGAAATCGAACTTCCTGACGTCAAGGAAGCTGCGACAACCGCCGCAACACCTATACCTCGAGTGGAATCAGCTGATGATGGACGAGAGGTTCCTGACGAAGTTCTTTTTGTATTTCAATGCGTACGACAGGTGTACCTTAGCGCAGGTGAGTGACATGATAACAAATGAAAATGTAACTCCCGAGCATTATCTCAAAATTCAAAATGCTTTACGGCACCTCCTGTTGTATTTCTGAATTATTTAAAGCACTATTGTCTGGATACCCTGAGTAGCTGAGGCCAAGAGAATCGTTCACAGAAATACAGTTCTATGAAATGCGGAATCAACGACATATATACATTTGATGATTCAAAAGTCAAACTCAAGAAAAGACAATTATATTGACTAACTTCAAATACTATTTGATATATTTATTTTATTTGAAAGACCCACAGAGTGGACGATAACAAGATTCAATGATTCGAACGTAAAACTCAAGGAAAACATTGGAACCAGAGTTGAGAACATTTGAATATTATCAAAATAGTAACGTCGGCTTTCGACAAGTAAATCCAACAGATATTTTTCAGTGAGTCAGTGTGTCAATAAAGTATCAGTTTTCCTGGACATTCAGAACTAGTGAAGGGGTAGAAATTTATACTGAGCATTTAAACTAATAGCAATTTTTTTTGTTTATTTGCAGTAAATACTTCGACAAAAATAATTCCCTTCCAAGAATATATAATACTGCATATGTTTTAGCAATTATCTAACGTATCATATTTCAGATACAAGAGGTGAGAAGTTTAGGAGTGTGAAAACAAAAGTTATTATATTCTAAGATTCAACAATCAAACTGACGTAAGACACATTATTTATCCACATCCTTTTTTGGAAGTACACAGTGAAATGTATACTATGGTAGTACAGAGTTCACTGAAAGTACCAGAGTTCATCTCATTTCGTGAAAAGAGGATTTCAACGAAGAACTCTGCCGACAAAGAGAAACATGTTTTCTAAATTCCCTGAGCCACACAAATATCTCATGATGGATTTTGAAAACAGCATCAGTCCACTATTGGACTGGTATAATATTCCAAATATCATATTAGAATGAGAAACGTTATATGTCATTCATAAAACCAAATGTATAATGTCTTGCCGGCATTTTCTTTGTTTTCCTAGAGTTTTACCCCGCCACCTTGAGGCAAAGCTATTCTTGAATTTCTCTCTCTCTATGTTTTTCACTTTTGCTTCCATTCAGGCACATTAAGCCCCTTCTTGAATTTCGTTTACATAAATTTAGAAGTTAACTATTCATTCAAATTCAATTAAAACTCAGATTTATTAGTATACCTATAAAGAATCGAATTCTAAGGGACCATTCTTGAAAGATGGCAATGCAACCTCACAAGTGACATTTTGTATTGTTATTTCTGGGAAATATTATATTTATTAGTTTGAAAAAAATATCTTGGGAATCCTGTCGTGAAAGTATTGCTGACGAAAAGAATTCTCTATTTGAAAGCCGAAGCAGTTTTTAGAGTTGACCTTCAAAGTTTTTCGTTGAAATACACTCATCACCAAGTGGGATAAAGTCTGGTACCTCCAACAAATTGAGAGGAAGAATGGCCGGTCAGTTTTATGTCTACAATCAATCGTCATAATACACTTTCAAAGACGAACTGAATAAACACTTGAATATTACTGGAGTTTTTTCCCACCACCAAATCGTTATTTTTAACACCTCGACACGTGTTTCGATCATCAAGTGATCATCTTCAAAGTGGAAGATTAAAACTGGAAACTAATGGGAAGCTAACCCTATTTATGCTATATAGGTATCCCATACAAGTAAACCATCCAGGTGTACCACCCATACAGGTATACCAACCTAAATTAATTTTACAAATTTGCCTTATCTATTATTTTACAATATATGTTTATAAAACAATTTTCAGCTATATAAAAATTAATTTCACAATATTGCCTATCTAAATTTATTTTTGCTATGTTTCCTTATGTAGTAATCAATAAACCCAACAATATTATTTTATTTTAACAAGCTATATAGTATGCTCTTTGGTATAGGTCCGACATCGTTATTCATAATATTATTGTGTTTACTTATTTCTACACTCTCATAGGCATCTAGTTGCGTGTTGTTGTTAACTTGACTAAATAATCTTAATGAACAGAAGTCTATGGAATGGTTTTGTTGCAAAATATGATGGGCGACTGCTGATTTTTCAGGTCTTCCATATTTTAAGTGTGTTATGTGTTCCTTATATCTTACTTTAATAGATCTTTTTGTCTGTCCATAATCCTTTGTATCGCAGTCATTACATTCAATTTCGTTAATTCCAAACTTTTCCGAATTCTCGACTTTGTCTTTTGGACTTCCTAAAAGGATCTGTAGTGTATGACTACTTTTAAAAACCACCTTCATACCTAGTTCCTTGAAAATCTTTCCAAAGTCCCTCGTATATTGGTGGTATGGAACTGATATGAATTACTCTTGGTTTTTGCCCTTTCTGAAAGTCGAGATTTCGTTCATTCTTAACCTAAACTTCTTCTTCCTTATTATGTCATTTACAATAAATAAACATTTCGAAATACGCATACATATTTACAGAATATATCATGTACTTGGAGTAAAATAATTTCTGTCGAAGTGTAAACAAGTAAATATTGAAGTACGTGTATTGAAACTGATTCAAAAAGTAAAAATTGAAATTTTTAGGAAATTAAATAAAGTTACATGCAACTTGAATGAATCAACAAAACTCTGCTCAAAACATTTGTAACAAAAAATTTGATCTACTTGCTGATAATTATGTTTTCTGTCGTTTATTATCGGTAAATAGTTATTCGATTTGAAGACACGTTGGAAGAGAAAGATACGGCACAATTTATCCACGAATATTTCCAATTCAAAACCATGTCAAAAATCTCTAACAAATAGTCTGGAAGAAAGATGAATTTCATTTCTGGCAGCAAAAGTATCCTCTCAATAAAAATATCAGCGTTGCTCTTTTGTTGGCTTTCTAGATCATTTCCATGAGTTATAACGAGTATTTTTCTTGGCTGCGTCTTTAACAATCCATTATCCATGCATTGACAGGTCTGCACTCGTTGGAGAGACATTTTATATCGCTCCCCGAGATACTGGTCGGGCCTGGTGCCAGTTCTGCAATGCCGTGAGCTGCGCGGGACAACGGAAATAGAAAGGGCAAGGTATGTATTCAACTGATTGGTATCTTGTTTTGTTTATTCCAGTATGCAAATGATCCATGGCGATGTCTTGCGAATACAATGGTGGATTAATTACGCCAACGATATGAAAGTTATCTGCTCGGTGTCAATACAAACTTTTAATTGGCGGAAAAAATTCATCCGAATACTTGAACTTCTTTTTCGATGACGGAGGAGAACGGATTATAACTAAGACGTACACTAGCAAAGAATACAAAGCCAACAGAAGCTCATAAAAACGATTTCAGTGTATCCTGTAATTTATAGTACCTACCTTAGCCACCAGAGAGTGATGGCAGTACAATGTCAGTATTTAATGCGGTTACCAACAACAGAAAGAGCCTTTTTCCTGAGAATAGTACAGCGAACTTGTCACGAGAGGCAGCACTAGTAGTAGGGACAAACATAAACTATTCACATGTAAAACAGTGTTATTTACGTAATATTAATTTATTATTTAAAAATATTAATCTGATATAACAAATTATTTTGTGCTAGTATTATGCCAACAAAGCATTGCTGTTTTGCGAATTGTACGTCGGATAATCGATATCCGGACGAAAACGTGTTTTTTATACCATTTATCAATCCTCATATTAATAAGGTTAGATGTAAGAAATGGATACATGCTTCAAGGAGAGTGGATTTAATAGTGCAAAAAATAAATAAATATTCATATGTATGCTCTAAACATGAAATGAATAGTAAATTTTTCATAGTTAATTACCATTGATTATAATGAGATATAACCTCAATCGTTTATTAAATTATATTCATTTATTATATTTAATTAAATTTATTTCATTACCATCTATATTTGATTCATATTTCACTCGGAAATAAATCTGAAATTCATAATTATTTTAAATTTCTTTTATTACAATTTGTCTATTAATTCACTTTTTTTCCAGTTACTTTAAAATTACGGCATGCAAGCCAACGTTTTAATTGTTATTCTTTACAGCTGCAAATTTTAGTTTTTCTCTAGGAAAGTTTTCTTCTGTTAAAAACATTCTTTTTTAATTGTACTTTACTATATGTTTATATAGGATTAGGCAGTGTTTGTCCCTACCGAACTACTAGCGCTGCTAGTGAGTGATTTTTCGTACTTCAGGAAAAATCAGAGTTGCCATCCGTAGCGGAATTCCGTTACTATAGCGGAATTCCGCTACTATAGCGGAATTTATTCGACGGTAGCGGCGTAGCGGAATTATCAATATTGAAAAAAATATGGAAGAAGTAGAGGCAGTGGACAGCACTCTCCTTCTTCTTTTCGATTCAATGGCCTCAGCAACTAAGGTTATCCGCAGACAGCACTCGAAGCTGACAGATAATACGTTATAGTCTTAGTAGTGAGGCCATTACATGATGAATGAGAAGACGATAATTTTTGAATATTTTCATTCATATCATTAACCATATAACCTCCAATATCTTGAAACTAAAAGTCTCAACTGTCTCGAGTATTATAACTTATATGAAACAAATTACAGTAGAAATAGAAGATAGTTCATCTGATTATGACTCGAGTGAAATAGCCATCGCAGTTGGAATTTACGGGAATGGGACACGTTCAAAAAAATACAAAAAGTCTCGAAAACAAACTTTTTCTAAACATTGTTTGTCTGATTACAACTTGAAAGGATGGATTTGACCTGTCGCGAATTATCGTTCAAGAGACCAGTGTGACTAAACGTATGTGAACAAACTGATTTTCATTTTTACTTTCCAAAATCAGTTTTTCAAGCTAAGAAATATTTGATCGAGACGACAGCTTTCAAAAATTAACTGCTGTAAACTTAGAAAATTAGGTACCATCTACTGAGTTGCGCGGTTGAAAATTATCACGATCCTGATTACTTACATCGGTGACAGTTCAGTTTGGTGGTATCTGAACGGTACATAAACTACAAACTGTAAGTTCTGTGGTATTTAATTTTGGATAGGGCGCATGAGCCAACTGATTGCGTCAGATATACGAGCGTAGTGGAATATGAAGCAGTGTAGCGGAATTTTGATTCATGCGTAGCGACTTCATAGTTCTACTAGTTGGTAAGACTGGGAAAAAGGTTCATTGGGTAGCAGTCACTGACAACCAGTCGTTCGGATTATATCAGAAGTATGAATGTACGCCAGAATTAAGTTAAATTGGAAAGACATACTTATTGCAGCGACCGCTATCCAAATTACCTATTCACTAAAAATATGAGTAGATCAAGCACATACGTTACTTTCTGACACAAACTGGAAGAAATAGATCTGCCCCCCCCGTGCCCACCCCCGGGTGAGTGCCCTGAGTTGAATTCTTCTCCACACGGTTACTATGTGCAGAACATCCCATCTCGTCCATCCACCCCCGCTCCTCCGGAGCGGTCCTCAACTTACTGATGGGCACTTCAACAAGATTGATATATGACCTCTTTTAGTCGAAAGTCAGCCTTTAGGTGCTTTTGCTTTCTAATCTGTTGTTTGCTTTCATCATGGCTTTCCTAACTGAATTTTTGCATGGAGTCCCCAAAAACTAACCGGAGACGAATGTCTTTTGTTGCGAACATTTTTGTTTCTCAGTGAATCTGAAAATGAGATGAATTCCAAATCTGAGAGCCGCCTGATAGCGACTCTCGGGGGTGGTCTCTGGTTCTGCTTTGTTGGCCTCCTGTGTTTGTCCCTCTCTCGGAATCTGGAGTCATCCCTGTTCAGTGCATTGTGTAGATCGCTTACCGCTAGATTGTCGTGCGCTCGAATTCTGTCAAACGTGTCTTCTGCGTCTTTTCTCATGGATCTGTCTTCTGTATGTCGCTGCGCACTGACTCCAGGCAGTGCAGGCATACATGATTATCGGTAATATTACGGTTTTTATCACCAGCAGCTTCACTTTCAATCCCATGTTGCTTCTTCGACCTATTATTGGTAATAGGTTTTGTCGGGCAGATCCCGCCATTCCTATTCTCTGCCGTACGTGAGACATGAACGTTAATCTTTTGTCTAGGTTGACCCCTAGGTATCTAGCTTCGTTGGTCCACGGAATCTCCCGTCCGTTGAAGATGACATTTCCTTCCGGGTGTACCATCCTCCTGGTGAACAGTATTGCCTGACTCTAGTCAGGGTTTATACTGATCTTCCACAGGTTAACCCATTCCTCTAATCTATCTGCCTGTTGCTCCAAGTATCTGGTGACGTGCGCTGGGCTTGTTGATCTCGCCAGCAGAGCTGTGTCGTCCACGTAGAACGCCAACTTGTTAAAGTTGTAAACCAATGGTTGAGAGTTCTTGTCCTACTCTGCAGCGGCATCGCCTGTCAGCTAGAAAAGACTCGATTAATCTTACCATTGGTTTCGTGTAGCCAAAGTTTCTCATTTTGGCCGGAAGTCCGCCATGCCAAACTCTGTCAAACGCCTTGGAGACGTCTGAGAAAATCGCTCCGGTGATGTATCCTTTGCCGAGGTTGAAGCCTTCCGTCGCAAAAAACACCTGTCGAAACCACTATACTTTCACATAAACACTGAATTTCACGAAAGAAAAAGTTCTTTCGAAACAACTACTTTTGTATTAACATTAAATTATACAAACATCACTCTTTCCTATTCATCGATGTTTCGGAATAAAACACTTGCCTTATTGACTCTTGAATGCTTTTGACGTCTTTGGGCGAGTCCTTTACTTTTCCCCACCTTGTTTACTAATGCAAACATATGAAGTAGATATAAATAATAATCACTTGCGTTAACCATTTCTAGGTTATATGCATCTCTTCTAGTTAAAGGCTTCTACACGCTTTGTTTGATGGGAGCATCAGATGAAGACGCCCTAGACTTGGTGAATACCTTCCCCCTCGCATCAGAACACATTCACACGCTCAGCCTGAGGTGTTCCAGTATCACGGATAGGGGACTAGAAACACTATTAGACCATCTTCAGGTGAGTTGAAAATACTGGTAGACATTCTTATTTGGATCTGTTCTGAACTGGTGGGGAGCAATACTCCGCTGCTGGATGATTGAAAAGCATCAGCAAGTACTTATTCGTTGAGGAAACTCACACAAATACCTGGAAGGTGAATATTTTGAATCTCGATTCGAAATATTCATTTTCTCAGCATGTATATGTCTCTTCTCGACACAGTCATCGGACATCATGATTTTTTAATGTCGTGTCACCAAAAAATAAATGAATTTCGATTTGGAATCATTAATCATTTCCTCAGATCAATATAGAATATTCTGTACCAGAATTATTGGAAAGTTGTTAGTACAGTACTTCACTCAACCAGATCAATCAAGAAAGTAAATCGTCCTTTTCAGGCGCTGTACGAGTTAGAACTGGCCGGCTGCAACGAGATCACGGAGGCGGGTCTGTGGGCGTGTCTGAACCCGCGCATCGTCTCTCTCACTCTCACCGACTGCATCAACGTGGCTGACGAAGCGGTGGGCGCAGTCGCGCAACTTCTGCCCGCCCTCTACGAGTTTTCGCTGCAGGCCTATCACGTGACTGATGCCGCTCTCACCTACTTCTCCCCCAAGCAGCAGTACTCGATTGGCGTGCTCAGGCTGCACTCTTGCTGGGAAATCACTTCGCAGGGAGTCATCACGATAGGTAAGGATTCAACACACTGTAACATGAGTTTTTGTTAAGAACAAGTCGATTCAGTCAAGTAACCCGACTCGAATCTAGTTTCATGCTGAACTTGAGGCCTCAAAGCTTTACAAGAAGAAACATATTGGGTTGTTTCCCCTTATTGCTATCGAGTTTGCGCGAATTGAACGAACACAAATAGAGAAGAATCTGATTTTTTTATTGTTTCAGCTACCACGATGAAAAACTTGACGGTGCTGAGTCTGTCCGGGTGTAGTAAAATAAACGATGAAGCGCTAGAAGCAATTGCGGAATTTTTAAAAGGATTGAAGTCTCTGGATCTGTCTTGGTGTCCGAGAATCACCGACCACGGTTTGGAGAATATCGCGTGCGATCTCAATCAATTAGAAGAACTGATCCTCGATAGGTAAAGTTTCGAAACACCCCGCAGTTTATGTATGTCTCACTATATCTTGTCACATTCCAGGTGTATAAATTTAACAGATAACGGAATTAGTTTTCTTTGTACTATGATGTCTCTATCTTCCCTGTATCTACGATGGTGCTCCCAAATAGGAGATGGCTCGATGCAACATATAGTAGCCATTCGGAAACTGCAAATACTTTCACTAGCAGGTAATTTCTGTATTAATTACCGAATTTTGACAATTGATAACGGCCAGTTTGTTGAAGCTACATCTGAAGCTCTGATCTTATGATCAGTGCCGAATCTTATGAAAACTGGTTATTTCTTGTCTTTTTTATAAATACTTTTTATTGATTTGTTACCCACTTTAATTTAGTTTGAATTATTCCTATTCTCCAAGACACTTTTAAATGACAAACGAACGAACTTTTAAATGACAAACGAACGAACTTTTAAATGACAAACGAACAAACTTTTAAATGACAAACGAACGAACTTTTAAATGACAAACGAACGAACTTTTGAATGACAAACGAACGAACTCTTAAATGACAAACGAACGAACTTTTGAATGACAAACGAACGAACTCTTAAATGACAAACGAACTAACTTTCAACCATTTTCAGGATGTCCTCTGTTGACATGCAGTGGCCTGTCGACTGTCATCCAGCTACGTCACCTAAAAGAACTAGAACTAACCAATTGTCCCGGAGCTTCACGAGAACTGTTTGACTATCTAAGAGAACATCTTCCACGCTGCCTCATCATAGAATAAGCCACCAATTGTCCACTTGTTACATTTGATACTAGACCGTGCAATAATACCACATCCTTCATTCTTATGATTCTACATATACTTTTCCTAGAAATTTCTTTCACCTTCGTAATTGCACTTGTGGATGTTAGACGATTCGACAGGTCTTACGGGTGTTTTTGTGATATATTGAGTGTTATATAGGATCTCTTTTGGGGTCAGGTGTGGGATTTCGAATTGAATTATGTGTCAGGTGTGGGGTTTTCAATTTCTATGATATGATAGTCGCGTAGACATATTGCCTGTCCCTGAACCAATATCCACAATGCAATTTCCATTCGAATGGTCCATGAAGAGAATCAGAATATGTCATATCAAATGGCAATAATGAAGGTATAAAATAGCAATAACGCTAAAAAATATCATTGAAATCAAAGTAATAGGTGTGTAATACACCATAATAAGAAGTGTGTCCGAAAAGCGAAGTTAGATATAAATTTAGGTTAGTTTAATTGAAAACTCAATTCCCGATATTTAGGAAGACTTGTCATTTTGTGATTTAGCCATCCAGGTCAATCATCGAAATTTTTCTAGTCGAACTTTATGATTTTTGTGGACCATTTGATATATATCTTCTTTGTGATGTGTTTGAAATGTTTTATTATATGTTGAAATCCCGAGTTTATGTGACGTCATTGATATAAATAGATATTTTGCAAGAAATCGGCGTTATAGTTTCATTTCAGACAGACTGGAAAAGTGTTATTTTTGAACGACTTGGCCCGATACTATGTGAAGTCTTAAAATAAATGAATGAAATTTCATAAAATCCTTTGTACCAAAAACTGCCTCAGCAGCAGCACTGGTCAACAGAAAAAGTCAGATCGTGCCTCACGACAACGCTCGTCCGCATGTTTCACAAACCATCGTCCGAAAATTAATTGGAACGAGTATTTCGACATGAAATCTCAAAATATTCATCTCTCCCAACTACCTGCACCGAAAGTACTCGTAAATGCTTACCGGAAAACAAAATCAAATAGGGTTCTGAAATACAAATTGCAACTAAGAACAGCTCAAAAGGGGTTAATTTAGAGCAGTATTTCTCAAAGTGGGAGATAACGCCCCCTTGTGGGCCTATAGGGGGGCAGTGAAGGGCACAGAGAAGATTGGGAGGCGATGGCTAATTTAAAAATGTTTTTTTTTGCTTTTAACACAGACTTTGCCGCTCTTTCACGCTTAACGCGCGTTTCCTCGTGTAACGTCATCTAGGGGACTAGACAGTAACTATTTCGTGTCCGATAGTTGTTAAACTCTACAATAGATGGCGGTATGTTCAATGCGAAGCGAGAAGTTTTTAGTCTCCATTCTCGTGAGTACTAGACCCATCCGCTGCTTCATATAAAAGCGGGCGCGCCATCCAACCAGTAATGTCATTCGACGATATAACGAAAACAAGTGAATTTAGTTAACGACTAGCTAGGTAAAATGTTGAACGTGCGTTGGTGAATACTGTGAGTGGTATCATTAGCAAGTTTTTAATACTCGATTCTTTACTTCGACATTTTTGAAGACAAAATTATGTCGGAAGCAAAAAAGAAGAAACGGCAGTATAGCTCAGGATATATAAAATACGGATTAATTGAAAATCCCACAAATCCATCTTCGCCTATGTGCCTTCTTTGTCAAAAACTATTGTACTAACTGAAAAAGTGGTGAATGCAATAAGACTGGCGCCATCAATGTGTTAGGCCCGAGAGTATTACCACAGTATTTCTGTATACAGTAGTTTTACTCAGCGTCGGTCCATTTGATGTCGGTGTCCAGGAGTTTCATTTTTTATAATGACGTATTTGACACTAATGACATTTCTCCCTACTACAATCTCAACCAAAGNCAGACCTAAGACATCGACGCGTGGGTCTGCGCGTAGGAAACTTCAAACCACAAATCAGCCTTTATGAAATTACTGTATACAAAATACTGTGGTATTACCTTATTCTGCAATCATTTTCAAGGTTTCTAACTATTTTGGGAGGCAGAGCCCCAAATGAGCATCGTATAATCAAATCTGTAGTAAATAAGTGAAGAACAAATATTTTTCAAACAAATTAGTGAGATATACATCCCAAATTTGTCCGAAATACCTAATAGAGGAAGAATTTTGGCTTTCATTTTTTGCATGTGTACCTTCCAATTTAAAGTATCATTAATACCAGGGGAGCCCACGATGCAAAATGAGGATTTACTCGAGCGTCATAGAGACCTATTAGGTTGCAAAGCTTAGATGATAAGAAGAAAAAAAATGTTATATAGTATATACCTATAGATCTTTAAATATGTAAAAAAATACTGTTGCATGGACATACTCGAGCGCGTCAAATATTGATAGCATCAATGTCCTACGTATTTTTAATAATGTTGGTATGTTAATCTGATCGTTTGCATGATGTGGGTGGTTATACGTAAGGGTTAAAAAAGAAAAAAAAAGTTAATCGAGCGCGTCAGATTTTTCAAGGGGGTGTTAATTGCACAAAAAAAAGATCTCATTCAATGATCTGACAATTTCAATCTGACGCAAACTCGTGGCCATTATTATAATGTGCAAAAAATTCTCCNGCTTTTTTATCGACAAATTTTGTTCAGCGATGAGGCTCATTTCTGGTTGAATGGCTACGTAAATAAGCAAAATTGCCGCATTTGGAGTGAAGAGCAACCAGAAGCCGTTCAAGAACTGCCCATGCATCCCGAAAAATGCACTGTTTGGTGTGGTTTGTACGCTGGTGGAATCATTGGACCGTATTTTTTCAAAGATGCTGTTGGACGCAACGTTACGGTGAATGGCGATCGCTATCGTTCGATGCTAACAAACTTTTTGTTGCCAAAAATGGAAGAACTGAACTTGGTTGACATGTGGTTTCAACAAGATGGCGCTACATGCCACACAGCTCGCGATTCTATGGCCATTTTGAGGGAAAACTTCGGAGAACAATTCATCTCAAGAAATGGACCGGTAAGTTGGCCACCAAGATCATGCGATTTGACGCCTTTAGACTATTTTTTGTGGGGCTACGTCAAGTCTAAAGTCTACAGAAATAAGCCAGCAACTATTCCAGCTTTGGAAGACAACATTTCCGAAGAAATTCGGGCTATTCCGGCCGAAATGCTCGAAAAAGTTGCCCAAAATTGGACTTTCCGAATGGACCACCTAAGACGCAGCCGCGGTCAACATTTAAATGAAATTATCTTCAAAAAGTAAATGTCATGGACCAATCTAACGTTTCAAATAAAGAACCGATAAGATTTTGCAAATTTTATGCGTTTTTTTTTTTTAAAAGTTCTCAAGCTCTTAAAAAATCACCCGTTATATGGGGCTCATATTTGGTGGAGGTACAAGGTATCCCCCTGTATATTAATCTGCCGCGCTTAAGTAAATCCTGAAGTTCCCGCTTGGGCTCTCTTATTACAATATAGAAACCAAGTAAATGAGTATTTATTGTACCTATCCTACTTGAGGACTTAGGATAAATTAAATAACATTACCAAAATTTTGCTGCTTTCGAATCAAAACTTTTAGCGGGGAAGACTGATATTTGAGCTTTTTTAGGAATACCAAATGAAAAAAATTCTAAGGTAAAAAAATAAATTTTATAAATTATTTAACAATAACAGAGTCTAATTATCTTAGGTTTGATTATCCCACCAGGACAATAATCCTAGGCCATCTTCGTTTATACTCCCCTGAAATAAAAAAGACTTGTGTTCACTTAATGATCAAAATTTAAGTTTATGAACTATCTGCAAGTAGTTCATACTTATCACCATTTGATCTTTTTTATTTGGGAACTAGTTTGGGATAGGATCAGAAAAAATCTAAGCGTTCACTACCCACGTTTCTAACTCTGATAAGTCCATCCTCAAAGCTCTATAATAGAAAAGGATTATTAAAATATAGGCTTCGAGGCCTGTCAAAAAAAAAGTGAATGTTCAAATTTGTCATGGGTATATGGTTACGACATCAAAACCAAAGTCCAATAATACCAATGGAAGAGCCCAGGAGAACCAAGACCAAAAAAAACATGCTGAGTTCGATCAGATATCAAGGTTTTGCTCACTGTTTTCTTTAAATACCTTGGCGTAGTGTATTAGAAGTTCTTGTCACAGGCGAGAAGAAATATGTTTGTGGAAAAACAATTCACGGCTTTTGCAATCAATGTATTATATCTGAGAGGGACTACTTTGAAGGGGATTGAAATTTACCTTTCAAACAGTGATGTTGATGAAATCGCAGGCGGTTCTCTTTATGAAGCCAAATACACATGGTATCCCACAGGGATGTGTCTTGGGACCACTCTTATTCATCATATATATTAATGACCTTTTCTTTTACATATACCCTCATGATATGGTGTCATATGCCTATTTCTCACCACAAAAAAATATTGATAGTCTCCATACCACTATCAACCAAATTGAAGACAAAGCTGAGATATGGTACAATTATAATAAGCTCAAACTAAATAGACTGAAAACTCAAACCATTATCGTCTCCAGTCAAAATAATATACGAACTGGAAGTTCTGTAAATCTTTTGGGAATCCAACTAGACGACTCGTTAAATTGGTTGTTAATTGGTTTGTTAATAATCCTGGTATAGAATTCTTGTTGTAGATTTACGATATTGTTTATGCTATATTTATTATTGATTTATATTTTTATATGTTTGTTTTTTTAATATCTAAGAATTTTTTCACCCATGACTATGTGTATATGTTCACAACCTAGTGTGAGAATTAGACTGATCAAGAAATCCTTTTGCTTTATATACTTTTTTGCTAGTTCTCTATAATTTCAGTAGAAGATATTAGTTTACTCATTTATTTTGCAGAATTTCAAGCGTACCAAACATGACATTGGATTGAAAATCAAAACTGTGACATTTTCCCTTTCATATTCAACTAGGGCTGTAGGCTTATTACAGAGTCCTGATGACAGACATTTTAAAGTCCGAAACGTCAGCATCAAGCAAGTAGATTTCTCTACAAATTTTTACTAATTCTATCTCAAACTAGTTTCCAAATGAACGAGTTTTTGATTTTGGATCACCCAACATATTAAAAAATATAGCTGATACACTCACCATCAAAGCATATGGGGTCTTGTTTTCGGAAGACTCCTGCGATTCCTGTACTTGGGGGCCAGCAGGACAAGTTTCGTTGAACATTTCCGCGGTCACTCTGAACCTAATCGAAGCCCCTGCGTCCATGAACAAGTCGTGCTTATTATCATCCCCCATATCGTACTCCCAAACCCAAGCCTGCTCATTTTCGTCAAACCTGGAAGGATGCTGTAAGGCCGTAGGGGGTATGAGGATATCCTCAAAGAATCCCATGGTAACGTGCACTCCTACCTGGCTGCAGCTCCTGATTTTTCCTATCAGAATTTCCTCCATGAAAGGCCTGAAGACGATGAATCGGAATTTTACTCTGGTATGGGAAGCTCCGTCACCAGGGAGGATATAGGATTCTTGCAGCTCGATTATGTCGAACAGGGCTATGCAAAGGCCTACGTCAAGAACTACCTGGGGGAAATGTGTTATTTTTGAAAAGACGATTTTCTTGGTATCTTACCTTGTTAGCCAGTTTCTTGTTTAATTCTCCAGCGATAGCATCGTTTAATTTGAGGTTGAACAGTCCAGGAGGAATTCTCGTTACGTTTGTCATCTCTGCTAAGATAAACATTTTGTATTCTTCTATACTTTTATTTTGAAAATAAAGTTAATACTAAAGTGAGGTTAAGCTACTTTATCTCTCTCTCTCTCTCTCTCTCTCTATTCTTCCATGGCCACAGATTAAGTACTCTGTGCCATGGCCATGTCTTCATGAAACATAAGCTTCGTCCGGGGACGCAAGTCTTCTCGCATTATGCAACCCTGCGTCCGTTTTTTTGGTCTTTGAATTCATTCTTCTTTGCTTTATTGTTCTGTGTTTTCGGGGGTTCATGACAATTAGCTAAACACGTAGGTGTGATTTATGGAAATAAGAAGTAATAGAAGTAGTTTCTTCGACAGTACGTCTTTCGTATTATTAAATTTTTATATGAAAGAAGTTATTTTGAGTGGGATTTTTGAATGTGAAAGAAACTTCTATGCATGACCTACACTTCTTTGTATACTTCTTTGTTTTATTTTTTGTATGAAAATGGAAAGGTGATAGCCACATACCTCTTTCAATTTTAATACGGAAAATATAAATTGCCTTGGTAACCAAGTAATAATCATAGCAACGATATTATCGAACAAACATCAAACTTTCATAAACATTGGGAGAAGAGACGATAAAATATTCTATTTCAAGACAAAAACTGTCAAAATAATAATTATATCCTTTGGAATATGGAGATTCAATATGCATATCAAAAAAAGAGAAGCGAATTTGGAAGGCAGTGCATGTTTTCCGATAAAGGCCCCGATTTAATTGATAATTTTCCGTCAGACAGGAAATTATACAAGGACTATATTTTGAAGTATGTAATTTCTCTCCATACAGGACAGACTGAAAGTGCACAATACGATTTATTTGATTTGAAAGGGTTATATTTTTAGGAGTGATTAATTTTTTGGGAAAGAAAGTTTTTGGCTTTCTACTACTCCATCTGATACAAAAAAATGGATGAGAGAATCTTCCTTTCTTTGGAAGATTCTCTCGTCCATTTTTTTGTATCAAATGGAGTAGTAGAAAGCCAAAAACTTTCTTTCCCAAACGATTTATTTCTTCGAAAGAATTATTTCACCGTTAATTTATCATTTTCCATACAAATATGGCTTCGCTTTGAAACTACCGAAGTTTTTAAAATTTCCTTTACAGAGATCCGGTATCAAGAAGTACGCAATGCGCCCCAATTCAAGCAGAACATTTCCTAAACACTATGAGAGCGGAATACACAAATTCTTCCATGAACCACGTGGAAGGTGGATGGCCCAAAGACGTCAATACTGCCGATGAAGAACAAACCAAAAGATACAGGCGGAAAATAGAAAAAGACGAAGGATTCAACCATACTATGATGCAATTGTTCAAAGTAAGACTTGAAATTCAAGTAGCAATTAGTTTCGTGAACCTGTGAGGTTGTCGTTTATGGGCATTTCAAGCTTTCGTAATATTTCTTTCACGTAGAATATGGAAAACTGCATCCTTCAGAACAACGCCATCAATATCTACCAGCAATACTTCTCCGACGTTGAACCGACCCCTCTAGTTGAGAGAAGCTCTGCCAGAACAGTCAACGTCTATCAGGACCAATGTACGCCGACGAGACCGATAACCCACATATCTTGGTCCCCGGACAACCAGACAAAACTGGCCGTCTCTCATTGCAATATGGTGTTTCACTTTCCGGTTCAGTCGGCCTTCTCATATATTTGGGAAGTTGGTAAGTAAATTTTGTTTTGTGAGTAATTCTACTGATTCTACTTTCTTAGTTCTATAATTTAATAACAAGAGACTTATTATATTTATAATTTCATTATACGACTATTTCAACCTCTCTTTTACATCTAACTTACTTCTTAATTTCGGCGTTGCCAACTATCTACTTTGTACTTAGGGAGTTTTTAGCGTTACATCCAACAGTAAAGGCATGTTACGGAACAGTATCTTAGGATGCTGTTTCGTGGTAGGGTTTCAGTTAAAATAATGAAGCACACTTGATAGGACAGTGGCTGGTTCTTTATTCAGCGATATATCACCACTACCTGGATAATATACATGGAAGACAAGCTGCAAAGGCTTGTTTGTGAAAAATGAGAGTTGGCCTGAGAAATTTGCAGGCTAACAGAAGAACATTTTTTTTTATAAAATTTCATTTTAGTATTCAATATACGAAGGTGGTCCCAGAAGTACCAAGCCGAACAAAAAAAAGCAGAAAAATATTGGAAAAAATGTATTTATTTTTCAATATAATCTTCTTGCAGTTCTATACACATTTCCCAGCGACGTTCAGTACGTTCGATACCGTTTTTTTTAATAAGAACGGTCTTGCTCCTTAAAATAGCTACATATGGGATGGGCTACATATCGGGCGCGTCCCCAGGTGGCGGATAAGGGAACGGCCAGGGCTGGAGGCCCTGTCCGGGAAGCCAATGTGGCCTTACGGACGGGGTCGCCGGACTCCTAGTCATTGGCATAAATGAGTAGGGTGAGGGGAACTAAAACCCCCCAAAAGCCTTTGCTAAACATGCCACCGTGGACCAGCCTACCCAAGCTAAGGTGTAAGGAATCGTGCCGACAGCTGAATGGCCGCAGGGTGATATGCGGTCACGAACAATCCCCTTGGGAAACTGGGCGAAACCTCATTGTAATCAGCCTACCTCTGCTAATGCGGGGCTCTGCCAGAGGTGACCAACTCTTCCCTTGCTCCTCGTGGGAACACACATGAATGAAATAGGCGGTGGCTGAGGATGAACAGAAGTGTCCACCCCAATCTACCGCTTGGAATGAGACTGGACATAGCAGATCACCACCAACAGCAAGGGCAATTCCTGCGGTGGGCGCCAAGAGCTTCTCTTTGAATAAAAGCAAGGAACCGGCTGCCCCGGCAGGAAAACTCCCTCACTTGTGCACCTCCACGGAGGGAACCCCAATAAGGTTGAAGAAGCTGCGCAACGACAGTAATGTCGCTGCACCTTCCAAAACCTTCGCGGAGGCTACCGTGAGACACCTCAAGGTTGTCAAAAAGAGTGTGTGTTCGGCGAGTATTGGCCTACATCTGCCAATACTGAGGAAATGTCTCCTAGTGACCTGTTTACCTTCCTGGAAAGGACAGGATGGACGATGACTTAGGAGGACAACTCCTCGGGAGGATGTACAATCCGCATCCCAAAAAAACGATACCATGACCTTGCTTGCAGATGAAATGGTCTTTGCCTTCTTTGGGGCAGGTTCTCCCTTTAAATCTACTGTTTTGATTGTTCTTTTGTCTCGGGTGTAAAGTGATGGACCCATGTTTCATCCATAGTTATGAAATGACGCGAGAATTATGCTTTGTTGCTGCGTAACTTTGCTAAACACTCAATTGAAACAGCACAACAACACAACAGCAAACGCGGCACCAATCACGCAGCTTTCTCATGTCCAAATTTTCAGTTCGATGTACCGCACTTTTTAAAATTGCTACGAAGTCTGCTAGCTCGCGCATTTTCGTTCGACGATAATTCAGTACCGCTTTGTAGATTTTCTTCACCGTTTCTGGAGTCGTCACCTCATTTGGTCGACCACTGCGAAGCTCGTCTTGGCAGCTCGTACGGCCTCATTTAAACTTTGCTACCCAATATTTTTCTGTTGTGAACGAAGGAGCCGACTCATCCAGATAGTAGAATCCAGTTCAGCTTTTATATTGAATTGGCTGAGGCCTTTCAAGTAAAAGTATTGTTCCACATAACGATGACCAATTCTCTCCATTTTCACAAATTCGCCGAAAACGTTCGGTGAATAAACAACGTATCGTCTTCAAACTTGAAAGATATGCTTTACTATACTTTCTGTGTACTTTGTAATATAGTTGCTTGACTCCAAATGTTCTATCCCACAAACTAATAGTCCGACAGCTGGAAAATTTGAACACGTTTCTTTTGAAGTTTAGGGTTAACTAACAAACATGGATTTAATAGTAGCAGCGCCATCTTTGTGTGAGCCTAGGAACTTTTCAACGCACCTAATATGTAAACTACCTGAAATTAATCGCAACGACTTTCCGAAAGGAATTTTTGAGCTTCAAAAACCACAATAATCATCAGCTTCAAATTGGATATGTTGTTTATTCGTTATCACAAAGATGTTTGGCGGTCTATCCTAAAATCCTCAGCTTAATTCGTCGATGTTTGGTTTATCCCGTTTATAACCTCAAATACGCTTGAATTTCACATTCTACCTCTACTTTTCCATACAGAAAATCCCAATCTCCCGCTTCTAACACTGAAACCGGAACACCCCATCGTTTGCCTCGAATACAACCAAAAAGATCCGCACTCTCTGGTAAGCGGACAATTGAACGGCCAAGTCGCCGTGTGGGATACGAGAAAAGGTTTCGAACCTGTTGAACTCAGCGTCATCGAGAACAGTTTCAGAGACCCCGTCCACAACGTGCTCTGGATCCACTCGAAAACGGGTACGGAGTTCTTCAGTTCATCCACCGACGGACAAGTAAAATGGTAAACATTAAACTTACTTTATTTAGGTTAGAGCAGACTATTTTTATATTATTTTACTTTATTCACTTCACCTGTAAATTTCAAATGCAACCCTATTTCAGTATTATCCATCGATATGTTTATGTGAATCGAATAATAACACTAGTTTACAGCCTATTTACGACTGTAATGCCAAAGGCGAAAATGATAGTAAAAACACGACATTCCAAATTTGTTTTTTCCCTAAATTGAGGAAATTGTTTGAAATATGGCAACACAGCGGCTCTGCCCAGTATTCGAATCTGCTTCTGCTGTATATGAGACTTGTAACGCCGCTTCTCGAACTTCCGATACTCGCAGTTTCCAGAAAATACCAGAAATACGGAACCGCTATAAAAGTAGCAGGTGACAATCGGATCATCAATATTGGTTCAACGCGAGTAGTGGTGAGTTAGTATTAAACAAGCGAGATGAGCAAACACACGAATTTGCACATTACAAACTATAGAAGAACACAAGCGATTATTTACCACATTACCTCCACATCTTTGACACTTTTCAGTTTAATAATCAACCTTGTCAATGTCATTAATATACCTATAACCTTACAATGTAGGTATGTTTTGACTACACAACTTCATTTCACTGCTACACTGACAATACAACACAAAAGCTTTAACTGAAACTTCAGACTATTACTCAAGTGTCTATTGTCTTATTAGATCACTTCGTACCGCACTTTCCACTAGATTTGCCGCATCTGCCTGTTGGTAGTGTTTATATATCGTAATGGAAGTATCTGGAAGCCGATAGGGAAGTCTCACGAAGCGACGCGACAATCGAGAAGCGCAAGTCGAGTTGAGCGCGACCTCGACCAAGTCACAGTCGACCGACGAAGATCAGCGGCGGCCGGCGTTATTTTTTTTCAAGTGATAATTCACAGCAATATATTTACTGTCATATTTTTCAAGGTGGGATATCAGAAAGTTATCAGAACCAACCGAAACCCTTATATTAGATTACAACAAAGATGAAGACCAAAGTCTCGCAAACGCCATGGGAGCCTCCTGTTTAGAATATGAAAGTACTATCCCGACACGTTTCATGGTGGGAACAGAACAAGGTGTGGTTATTTCCTGTAATCGGAAAGGAAAAGTAAGTTTCATTATTATAGGAGAAGCAATGTTGAATTGTTAATGAGACATTGATGCTTCATATCTATTCCGTGGCGAGGTTGGTCTTTAAAGTTTCCGACCTCAACATGAATATAGCAGCACTAGCACATGAAAGCTAGGGAATTTCGTTGTTCATCTGTTGACAGTTACTCACCAAAGTTTCACCCATTTTGGACGCAAAGTGGTTTGGTAACAGTCGTTTGAGTAAATATATGTTTCTGAAAGGCAAAACGCCTACGCAAATCAAATATGAGTTGAATCCTGTGTATGGGGACTCTGCACCATCATTTATCACAGTACAATTTTTGGCAGCTGAATTTAAATGTGGCCGTAAGAACTTGAGAGACTGAACGTTCAGGACGCCAAAAAGCTATAACTACCGACGAAAAATCACCAAATGGTGATCGTACTCGTCGTCTACGCCAAATTAAAGTGAGAGAGAAAGCAGATATAATGAAAATACCAAAAGAACGTATTTGACGTGTTGAATTTCAGTTTGACGTTTTAAATTTCAGTGCAAAAGCAGAACCCATGCATATTCAATGTATGGATACCTCGAAATATAATAGGAGTTTTGTGGTGACCGTGGTAGTGGACGGACGTGCCGATAACGCCCGTTCACAAAGAAGGTACGCGGATGCCACGTGCTATCGCGGGGATTCTATTTATGTTGTGATTGTCTATTGTGCAGTCATCAATATAGTAAAGTTTATGTGAGAGTTTAGACGAAAATGTGAAGTGAGGGCCCTCTTTATTCACGCCGGTATCCAGGCTGGGGTGGTTCGGATAATCACGTAAAGCGGGCCATGTATGTGAATTTAAAAACCCGAAGGTCTCCCGAAGAGGAGGCGACTCAAAAAATCTATGTGAAAAAAATAAAAAGGTCTTCCAAGCAGAAGGCAACAATAAAAAAGTTGAATTGTTTTCATCGTAAAAAAGTTCGACAAAAAAGGGGTGGCAGCATTGCTTCCGCGTGGCCGCTATCCCTGCCCCCCACGACAAAGCTTCTGTCATCTTTGATAGGAGCCTGGACAAATGCGCCCGAGTGGGAGGCAACGTCCAACAAAATTAGAGAGAGATAGAGAAATTGTCTATGGTTGTGAGAGTCACTGCAACAAAGATCGTGGAAGACTTGTGGGAGCATTATAATCCAGATAATTTGTAAAATTCCAGTTGGAATTGACATGTATAATTCTATATCATAAACATGTAATGTGTCTTGAGAATAAAGCATCAGTATCAGTAATATTAAATCAACATTCAGGCATGAGATAGCTGTCCGAGCTTTGGATGCCGCGTTTGCTCACTTTAGACCAAAAACCTGTTCGAATGAACATTTCCAAAGCTCTGTTGGCCCAGTTTAGGGGCAATGGATCCGAGTTTTGGCACCGATTAATTACTGTAGATGATTGGATTGTTTAAACATCACAGGAGCCATGAGAACAACACCAACCGCGGCAATGGAATTAATTACGAGTTAACTCCTCTGGACCTGTACGTTAAGGAGGTTGAGTTAATGACCATGTTATGATTGCGCACGGCTGGTGTAAACCTCGAAGTAGGAATGGGTGAATAGAGGCTTAGCCTATAACGAGAAGCGCTTAGTGCGAAACCTCTGCTGCAGGCAATCAGGGATGCAATGGGAAATGTTCCTCCTGACGAAAATCAAGTAGTTTTCATAAAAGAGCTCTAAAACAACGTACTTTAAACTTATCATTTCAACCCTTTTCTTTAAAAAAATATTTAAATACTTAAAAAAGAGGAATGAAATAATGCATTCAACATTTAAAGGGATTCGTTTCTATTTCACCATTTGGCAACATCGGTTATAGCTAATAAAGGACAATGAATCTGTTACCTGTACGAGACGAACAAAGATGACATATTTCAGAGGAACGCTGTTCTGTTTACTTATGTTCCGAGACATTCTGTGACATATGACATTTTCTGCACTTAACCTATCTTCCTCTATATAAATAAATAACAAAACCCTGAGAAGCTGGCGCCTATGAAATATCTGGCGATGACCAGGAAAAATCTACCCTTAACAGTAGGATTTCTGACTGGCCACCGTCAACTAAGGAAACACCTCCATAATATGGGGCTAGTGACACACCTTTATGCAGGATGTGTAAACAGGAAGATGAGACTGTCAGGCATGTCCTATGCGAGTGCCTGGAGTTATCGTCAATAAAAGAGTGTGTGTTCGGCGAGTCTTGGCCTACACCTGCCAATATAAAGGAGATTCACAGTGACCTGTCCACCTTCCTGGAAAGGGCAGGATGGACGATGACCTAGGAGGACAACTCCTCGGGAGGATGTACAATGGATCACGTGTGGCCTAAATGATGTGGGCTTACACTCACCCTCCCTACTCTACAGATACTGTAGATGAAACTTGGATAAACCATTATACGCCCGAAACAAAAATACTGTCCAAACAGTGGACTGCAAAGGAGGAACCGTCTCCAAAAAAGCAAAAACTATTTTTTCGACTGGGAAAGTGTTTGACTGTTTTTTGAGATAGTCATGGAGTTATTTCCGTCGATTATCTTCAAAAAGGAAAAACCATCACAGGAGCATGAGACGCATCATTACTTGACAAGCTGAAGGCAGAACTTGCGAAAAAACAGCCACATTTGCAATCGCTGAGGTGTGAGACAGTGTGTTGTCTTGGTGAAACGCCTTTCTCACCAGATTTAGCCCCAAGCGACTTTTTGTTCCTTCATCTAAAAACTGCGCTCGTAGGGCGGAGATTTTGGTCAAATGAAGAGGAAATCACCTTCGTGAACAATGATTTTACGGAGAAAAACGCCGAGTACTATTTGGAGGGGTTACAGAGATGGGAAGATCACTGGAAGAATTGTGTAGAGTTAAAAGAAGACTATGTTGATGAATTTTAAAAAAATCTAAGAAAATGTCTTGTGTCTTTGTTAGGTCGGTAACTTTTCAGACCCCCCTCGTCTCTTTGTTTAAATTCTGTGTATATTTCGAATCGTAAGTTTGCATATGAATTTCATTGGGCCCTTTCATCCTCTTAGAAGTTCTTGGTTATATTATAGACTGCTTTGGAGAAGATGCCCACCCGATTCAACGCTCACATGGGGCCAGTTCTAGCGCTACAGAGAAATCCGGGTTTTGTCAAGAATTTCTTGACTATAGGAGACTGGACTGCGAAAATATGGTCGGAGGACTGTAGAGAAAGCTCTATAATGTGGACAAGTTTCCACAAGGCAATGCTGACAGATGGATCTTGGAGTCCAACCAGGTGAGCATCAGAATATTCTTCAGAAAAGCATGTATCGGGAGTAAAACATTAGTTTGTTTGGAGGTGATCGACAAAGTTTCATGATGAATTTCATTAGTTCGGAAATCCATTGTTTGATATTATATAAAATGATTTGAAGACTCTGGTGAAGCTGCAGTGGCAGCATTTTGTGATATGACAAAAGCATTCGACTGTGTTGATCACAAAATATTGCTTCAAAAACTTGAAATCTACGGATTTAGAGAAAACATCTTGTTGTGGTTTGAATCATATCTATCAGATCGTGTTCAAGTAGTGAATTTCAAAAGGTCATCTTCAGATAAAATGAGCATTAAATACGGAGTACCTCAGGGATCTGTCCTCGGCCCTTTGATGTTTTTATTGTATATAAATGATTTGGCATGTAAATCTATTGAAGGCAAATTCAGAAGTTTTGCTGACGACACGTCTATACTTTGGCATGGAAGAAGCACTGATGCACTAAAAATAGGGTAGGGCATGATATAGGCAAAGCTAAACAATGGTGTGATGCCAATTATCATCTTTCAATATATCAAAGACTAATATAATGTCCTTTAAATGTAACCTGGACCATATAATTCTTGAAGAACATCTCATTGTTCATAAACTAGAGAACAAATTTTTAGGCCTCAACATAAACAAATTAAAATTTGGAACGCATATTAGTATACTATGCAAAAAATTATCCTCAAGTTGTTATGCGATAAGGTCTATCTCTAACTCTTTGGACTATCACTCTGCTAGAAAAGCATACTTTGCACTTTTCGAATCCCACTTGCTTTACGGAATTTGTTTCTGGGGGAGCAGCTGTCAAAACTTATTGTCAAGATTTCACAATTCAAAAAAGAGCAGTGAGATTCATTACCTGAGCTAGAGTCCAAGATTCCTGTAAGCCCCCTTTTTTAACTAATCATTCTTAACAGTCTACTGCCTCTTTATTTACAGCACAAAATAAAAACTCGATTCTTTATAATAGCAAAAAATATTTCAATCATCTCACCTTTCAATCAGAAAATTAACCTGCTACAAGCAGTTTCGAAAAAGGGTAAAAAAAACCGTCTGCTAGATAAAGCTCATTATAGTATTGAGGAATTTCTTTCGGATTACTTCGCAACTTATAAATTTTTTTATTACAGACTTTTACCATAGACTTTTTGAAGTGTGCATGAGCCATATTATTATCTTGTTTCAATTCTTGACCTTTATTTTAATTTTTCTGATTGTTTTGTCAACAAAACCTAAACTTTTAATGAGTGGTATCTTTGGCAACACTGTTTTTTGACAGATCACGCGAGTCGTGTTTTGTGTCATTGTCAAACTTGTTCAGTATGGTCTATAATTTAACCTTACGAATGAACAACGCTTGCAAATTATTGAATTTTATTATCAAAATTCATGATCGGTGAAGAAAGTTCTTAAAATATATGGCCAGTTTCGTCGGCCTACTGAGGGAGCTATTCGGAAGCTTGTGACTAAATTTAAATTAAACAAGCAAAGTTACTTGTTGTTAGCATCCACAATCGAAACGCTGTGAAGTAACTTGGTTTGGAATCTCCTATCTTTTTACTTTTATTTCAATTGATCTATTTTTAACTTTTTATTTTTTGTTCAGTCGTTCTATTTTTACTTGTATTTTATTTCACTATTATTTCATTTCAGTTTTTTTTGCTTAATATAATTATTATTTTCAGCTATAGATTTTTAATTCTTCTTNAGCCGGTGAAGCAAGTTCAAAAATGTCCTTATCGGGACGAAACTGCAGTAACGTTAGTTTCAAATAAAAATGGTAAAAAACAGAAAGTTTCATTTCTCATTTTCAACAAAGTTTTCGTTAAAAAATGGAAATATATCGATGACATTTTGATGTCTTGTGGTATTACCATTGATAAGTGTGCTGGAAACTCCTTTGGAATGTTCGAACTCTGGACCGATGTTGAATTTCCATTACAGATTATCGGTGTTCTTTACAACTAGATCCGACGGCACTCTGGACGTTTGGGACGTCCTGCAACAACAAAAACAAGCCTGTTTGGGCGTTAAAGTATGCGACGAACCACTGAAATGCCTGAGAACTCACGACATGGGGCGACTTGTGGCAGTAGGCAACCAACAAGGAAAGATTTATTTGGTGGAATTCAGCGAGAACTTATCAGTGTCCAATAAGAACGACAAAATGCTATTAACCGCCGTAAGTACCTCGTTAATTGGCCGTATCCCCACTACTTAACATGTAGTGGTGGGGGTAGTCCAAAGTGTGCCTTATCCTACTTTGAAACCGAATTTCGTGATTTGCGTAGATGTTCGAGAGGGAGAGCCGCCGGGAAAAAATCCTGGAGGCCCGAAACAGGGAGATGCGTTTGAAGCAGAAGACGAAACAATCAGTTGCCGCATTCGTGGATGAAGACGCATCGAGAGGGGATGTGACGGAAGCAGCAGAGGCGACTTTCGCTGACAACTTCGTGAAGCAGTCGGAGGCGGATTTCTATCAGAAGATCGAGGCAGAGGTCGCGGCTTCCAAGCCTAAGCAAGAGGAACCTGAAGAAGCCGAAGAACTTGAAGGGAAAGGGGGTTTCCGCTCTGAAATGATTTTGGATCAGGACATGTCTGAGGATAAGGTAGCCGATGAAGAGGAGAAAGAAAAGGAAAAAGTTGAGGAGAAGGGCAAGGAGAAAGCGACGAGTACGAAGAAGCCCAAGAAGAAATGAAGTGTTCTACTTTATCGTTGTTGAAATGCTTGTTGTCTTCTTGAAATGAATAAATATGTTTATTTACAGCCATGAATATTTAGCCGAGGCCCAAGGGCGGATTTAGATCGAAATTTCGAAGGGGGTAATTTCTCAAGTTCGGGGAAGGGGGAGTGACTTTCATGAGGAATAATTTATGTGTTTGTGGAGATCAAATCGTGAGAGGTAGTTTTTGAAATTAATTTATATGTGCTTGTATATATTAAATTACTCTTTTGAAATGTAGCGAATGTTCAAAACAAACACTGTTCCCAAACACTAGAACAGTAACACTCATTTCAACGCGCAATTTAAAATTGGCCTTTATTTATATCTCCACTTTCGGACATACATCAATGATTTCGGGTGGACAAAGTAAGATTATCAAATGATTGAAAGAGAAAAATGTTTTCTATCCAAAGCAGACGAAGGCAATAAGATTGTGATGTTGGACAAGTCAGATTGCTGTGAGAGAATTGATAACAGTTCCTGTAATAAATTCATTTCACAATCCATTTTTGAAGGTTCATTGAAAACAACAAATTTTGCGGTTAGACTTGAAATTGGTAGAACTGGAAAAAATGTTACCCCACACCTGACACCATTGTATCGAATATACAAATCAGGACTAGGAGATTGTAGAGAGTACAATTTATTGATAAAACTTGCTTAATTTTTACTACACCAGAAGAAGCAAGCAGTAAAATAATTGTGAAGATGTATCAGGAAGTATCAGTAGTAAGAAGTAGTATGAGCAGTTTATTCTTCAAATGTTTTATCCGATTCAATGATTTACCTGATTCAATTGAATCTACTCCATCACTGAATATTTTCAAAAGCCAACTTTTAAAACACATTCAGGATGGAAATTAAATATTCCTTTTTCTTCAGTTCCAATAATATATGTATGTATATATAGTTGTATTACTTGTATAAATTTAGTCGATTATACTATATTTTAAGTTAACTAAACTGTATATTAGGAAAGCCTAATTCAATACATTCTTCTTCTTCTAGCCTACGACCTAAAAATATTTTCAATGAATAATGAAGCTTTTTAATTTTTAACCCAAGTATATTATTAGGTAATAACAAATTGAAAAATAACAATTATTTTATTTTTCCAACGGGAATCTATTTTGAGACTTTTCAATTCTTAATTTTGATATTTAATAGGTTAAAATAATATTTTTTCTTCACATGTCTAAAGTTATAAATATTGGTCTTACAGTTCCGGGAGTAGGACTTTTTATTGGTAAATCTCCTTCTTTTTTTAAATCTCATTTCAAATTTGAGAAATGTCAAATGATTTTTGAGATATTTGCAAGAAACCAAACCCTTTTTTTCAGTTAATTGTGTTAATTTGCAGTTAATTTTTGCAAATGACACTTGACTTTTTTCAAAAATTATTTACATGCTATAAGATTACTCATATCTGAATTGGGCTTGCCTGTGTATATTCATAAATAGAATGAATGAATTACTTCATTGAACTGATGAGAATTTGTGTTAGTATGATCTTTGAACTATTCCACCATTAACTTTCCAAAATAACTTAATTTTTTTTCTGCAAAAATACACTACGGATAATTAAATCTTCATTATTTTTTCAAACCCTCACTGCTTTCGTATTCTCAGTAAAAGGTTATTGCCTTGCATTGCACGTAAACAACACTAGATAAATCAAAACAATTTATTAACTAACTGCATTCATTCACACAAAATAAACTAACACTCTAAATCGTCAACAGTAACAACAAAACATAACCTCAATTCTTATCTCCACCTCCGACGGAACTGAAAGCATTGAACATCCATCTCCTCTCGATATTCGCCCCGATACCGAACAACTCCTGCTTGAAGACGGTCGGAAACCTGGACATGACAGACTCAATCTCCGCCGGCCTTAGATTCGTCTCTATCTTGCTAACGTATGACCAAATATAGTCCAGCCCCGCCCCGAAAGGGTGGACGTTCAGAAAAGCCGAGACGATTCCTATCAACTTGGCATCTCTGTCAGTCAACTGCACCGAAGGCGAATGTTGATTCTCGCCGCTGCTCTCCGTCGCGGAGTCGCACTGTTCGTTGTCACTGGAGTCTATCACGACGACTTCTTTGTCGTTGAGCGGCCGCCCCTTTTCCGACCTGAGCTTCCCTTGCAGATCTTTGACTTTGGTTTCTTCTTCGCTTCGCTTCTTTTTTACTTCGAGAAGCTGCTGCTGCATGCCCTGCAGAGTCTGCTGGAGCATTTTCAATTGCTTGTCTTTGTCTTCCATGTCTTTCTTTTGGTCCATTTTGAGCACCTCAACCTGTAAAAGTCCGACTGATACTAATTCAAGGAACGTTAGAGAAAAGTATAATAAAAGGTGAGATGGGGCAACTGTAGAATCGGAGCAAGTGCATAAGTTGGTCATAATTTTGATCTTATAATAAAAAAACTGACAAAATGGTTTAGACTTTCGCGACTGAGGTTTTCAGTATCACTGTTTTACCAGTTTGAAAGCCGTGGATTATTGGAATTTCTTCTTGACGTTTCGTTCATTAACAATCTTGCTGCCTATTGTCATTCTGTTCGTTTGACACCTCACAAACCACAAGAGGAGACTAAATCATCTGTCGGTAACAAATAAGACAGATGGGTTAAGCTAAACAGTGGAGACGGGAGTGGGTACCAAATTAGCAAATTTCAAATAGATCTTGATGGGCGCCAGGTAAATTTAATCCTCCAGATACCCTAAGTAACTCACAATATCAATAACTTACCAATTTATATTGGAAACAAAAGATAAAGATCCCCAATATGATTTATTCAGTAAACTAAACTTACATGGATTAACCGACAACGCTCCTAAGACAACAATGCGATATTCACGCTACTACACGATGTTCAAATGTCAATACAAGAGGTCATTGAGCGCGGTGTATATAACCACAAATTCAATCAGCTATAAATTATGGTAGTAACGACGCTTAAAAGAAAACTACAATACGTCAAGTAAAACTACCACGAAAATTGAGTAGGTGTAGGCGAAATCGTAAATACTAGTATTGAAAGATAAGATAATCTCGTTTGCGTCGCGTGAGCTCAGGCGTAGGCGCATCGGTGTCAACAAGCATTTGTGAAAGGAAAAAAATACCTCAATTTGCGTTTTACAAATGAAACCAAACACGTTTCCAAGTAGCGGTGAATTCAGCCAGAAAGGCAATCACTATATCAAACAGGTAACAATAAACAAAAGGGCAAACAATTATACAAATAACTCAGTACTACACAAATATTCAAATAAACCAATTATAACTTGCGTGCTCCTTTTGGGCCACCCGGTATATGGTGTTGGGCTACCCCGTAGTTTGACGGAGGTGGATCACCCTGTAGTACGGCGGAGATGAATCACGCTGTAGCACCGCAAAGATAGATCACCCTGTAGGGCACAAGATGGACCAATAATGGATCACCAAATAGGACCCCAAAGGTAGCTGAACACCTCCAAGTCCGGGGAGTGTTCTACACTCCAGGAAAAAAAAGACCCCTGGCCAAGGGGTTTTCTATACGTTTCTTCGTGTGTGGTGCTCTGCACCACACACTCATCAAGTCCTACTGGGACTCATCAAGTCCTACTGGGACTTGATGAGTGACTAAGGGCCTTCTGTTTCTTATGAATCTGATTTTGGAAATCCTTCCACCTGGCACAATGAGTTCGGTAACCACCACAAATCCTCAAAAGAGTTTAAGTTTCACACTGCAAATATTCACACCAAAATGACCAATCAGTCTTCCACTGTACAATCCTGACTTGTAGAAATAATCCCCGTGAAGGATGGCAAAAATACAACCATATATATCCTACAAGCCAGTCAAATGGTACACTTGAACTCTCAACCAAGCTCAACGAAGGTCAACACCGAAATCCGAGAGACTGCCACATCTGACAGCTATTCAGTTGTTGCCACAGTGTGTCAAATCTACGCTACAAGCACCAAGGGGGCTCTGTGCACGTCCATGACCCATCAAAACTCCTTCTCAAAGCAATGCAACCCTAAAACAACCCTCGACAATTTGAGTAACCGATCAATCCCTAGCGAGGAATTTCGGATTTCCAACGTCGAATGCGAAGTGAATGGTAAGTACTGATCAAAGCAGTTAGTCAGGGAGCATACATATGATATTGTACATTTCAGGTATGGTTTTCTATGGAACGGAATATTCCCATTACTATGATGTTAAATGAATAAAATCAACTTGTAACTGAATTACATTGTTAACATCCTCTAAAAAAAGATTTAAAAATGGTAAGGTAGTGTTTTGAAAGGTCACATAGGAGCAGTTTTGATCTAGTGCTAAATTGAAACGTAACACGTTATTCTCGAATTCCTTAAAATGGGGTTCCATATTCGGTTGAGGTTCACCGCTTCTTTTATGTTGAAATTCTCCGTGTGTTTGTGAATTTCTATTGCCTTCCGTACCAGTCGGCTATGGTATCCCTGGTTGGGGGCAATTATTTTAACAAAAATACGAAGTTATGTGTAGTTTTGGTGGGTGGCATGAATGCATAATTGATTTATTTTAATAGGGTACATGAACATTCGAAAACCATTTGAAAATACAGTTCGTTAAATTCTATTTAGAATCATATTTAGATATAACTTGTACTATATCAGTTATCAAGGCATATATTATTGACCATTTGTATGCTTAATTCGTGGATTCGAGCGATCTTATCATTGTGTATTTATTTGTTTGCTGGCTTCATTCCTAACAAAAATGAATGAATAATTACGGGAAATTTCAAATGATCGTTCATTTTCTCAGGAAAATGGAGTACAAATCCCACAAATTATTGGTTTATTTCTATTGTTCCTATTGGTCAATCGAACAAGAAGCGGAAATAGGGCCGTGACGTCACCACCCTACCACATTCGATTTTTATTAATTAATTACGGGAAGACTACGGTACTTAGAGAGCTGAAACAAAGTGCACTGTTTTTCAATTTGAAATTTCTATAAACCAAAAATCATGAAACAAGCCCACTGTCAACTTCCGTTGCAACTAAAAGTGACTGTGAATCAAAAATATTTCTCATCATACTTTAGGCATTTACTGATTCATTGATGAACAAGATCGTATTGAATTTTGAAAATGTACTCTATGCCACCTACCTCGTTTTTATAAGCCTCTATCTGACATTTCAAACTGTCATTCTCCTCTCTCAGATTCAGTCTCTCTTCGTTAGCGGAATCAGATCGATGTTTCTTCCTCGACGGTTCGTCATCATCAGACACGTCCATTTCGTCATCGTCTTTCTCGTTGGAAGAATCATCCAGCTGGACGTTTTTAATTTCCTGCAGATACAAAACCCTCGATAGTATAATCACCCGCATTATAATCGTACACTACTGTACGTTTAAAACTAGCAGTAGCAGTAGTACACAACCACGTGTGAGGAAAACACGTTTACCAACACGGTGTGTGTGAAATTGTCCGAGTAAATTTGGTCCACCAGTGAGTCACTTACGAAAAAAGCCTTCGAGGATTTCGAAAAAGTTCGCCAATTATCAAATTGGGAGCCAAACGAAATACATACCTGAGGAATTTCGGGTATAATTTTGGGTGGTTTTTCCTGGTTTCTCTGGTCGTCAGAATAAGAAAAATAAAAATCATCCCCGCTCTTGAGAAGAATGGGCCACATTGGAAACTTTCAAAGGAAAACTCCTGTTTTGGAACTAGATAGATGAAAACTGATGGCTGTGTCTGAGGATCAAGACACCCTGTATATTCCTGCATATTTCCATAGAGCTTAAAATTACCTTTCCAAAAATATTGATGTTTTGTTAGTCATTTCTGAAATCCAAATCTTTCAGGTTTTTTCATGTGGACTTGAAACGCACACTTTGATCTTTGGACAACGCGGCGATAAAACATAAAAAAAAAGTTCAATAGTAGCTATCAAATGTTGAGAAAGCTTTTCAGCAGTAGCAGTAATTAAAACGCATAGTTTCAATAAAACTGATAACAATTTATAACATAGTGGCACTATGTTACTGATCGCTGCTGTTCCAATGTTTAGACAGAATCAGAATCAACGAAGTTAGGCGTGCGCACCGTTATAGAACAGTGCTTTCAAAAAAATTGTTCTGTAGCGCCATATAGTGGCGAGTTACAGAAAAATTGATAGCCTAAAAACCTTCTCTATGAAAAACTAGTACTATGTTGCTGTATCGCTGCTGTTTCAATGTTTTGACAAAATCAGAATCAACGAACTTAGGCGTGCGCACCGTTATAGAACAGTGCTTTCAAAAAATTATTCTACAGCGCCATCTAGTGGCGAGTTACAGAAAAATTGATAGCTTGAAAACCTTCTCTATGAAAAATTACTTATATGTGTCAAGTTTCATCACGATCGGTACAACTGGCTATCGACCGAAGTCCTTCCGCCCGTGTAACAAAATGCTTTGAAATAACATAGCTTATTTTACAAAATAAAAAAAATTATATGGATATAAAAATGAACAAACAAAACAATTTCATTGATAAAGTTGCGTTAATTTTTCTAACAGTGTTTCTGTTGGGTGTCGATGTCGTACTCTTGCATGGGGGTTTCTTGTCACAGCATACTGTCTAATGATTTCTACATTGTCGTCTTTCCTAGCAAATTGCTGAATAAGTGACGGCAGTCTTTTCTCGATAGGGATAATACCAGTGAGTTCGTACAACATAGGGTTTGGAGGGTTGTGTTTGGGGTTATTGGGATGCCTTAATCTTGTTATTTTCCTTATAGCAGCCTGTTGATATTTTCAAATTTCGCGTTGACGTTTTGGGATTATTTTCAACAGCTCCTAAAAAGACTATTTCCTCCAACTCCTTTTCCCGGTTTGATTCATATAAGTTTGACCTTTTCTTTTCAAATTGACCACCACCAAATAGGTGTGAAAATTTATCTAAAAGTTTGTCTTCTCTCTCTGGATACCTCTCGTGATACAAATTGCATTTTCCCCGGTTTATATAGAACAGAGTATCATATCCCATTTTTCATAATTGTTAAACTTCATTGCGAATGTGTTTGAAAATTGAACTAAAACTACTAATTGAAGAGCGTCTTTACTGCTTTAATCAAAATTTGACAGCTAAAACTTATATACCAGTGAGGATTGGGATTCTGTTTTATCGCTGCATCCTCCAAAGAAAAAACCTGGATTTCAAAAATGACTCTAGCAAAACAACAAGTATATTACATCTTTGGAAAGAAACGATATCGATATGCGGTTTTCACCACTAAGTTTATCATAAAATTTGACCCCAGACACAGCCATCAGTTTTCATCTATCTAATTTAAAAACAGTTTCTTTTTAAAAGTGTCCAATTTGGCACCCTCTGTACATTCACACGCATGTGTTTGCAAGGGGCGATTATTATTATTATCATTATTATTATTATTATTGTGATAACGACTCGAATGTTCAACTGAAAGTTTGTTTGAATGAACTATTTGTTTGCAGGGTTTCTGAAGCTGATGGACAAAATTTTTTATCCTGGGTATTGTTGAGTTTCGAAATACGCCGAACCTCTTTGAGGATCACTTTGTTTTATCAAGTTGATATCCACGAGTATCGTCTCAGGCTGACTGACCGGATTTTCTGAACTTACCTTGGCTTACCTTCGAAAACCGTATTATTTTATATATAGTGTGAGACTAAGGAGTGTGAAAATTTCAACATTATGTCTATTATAGAACTAAAACTAAAACATGCAAAAAACCTTGGACTTTCAAAACATTCTTTATAATTGTCAAATCATCAGCTGTGATAACGTCCTGAACAAAAACATATACAGTCCGGTTATAGCAAGTTGGTAGAATCGAATGGAAACGTACACACTATTTTTTGACTTGTAGAGGAAAGGTTCAGTCACAAAGGGGAATGTTCCTCAATTTGGGTTATTACAGCAAATGCAAGTTTGAACAAAATAAAGTTGAGTTTTTCAAATTCACTTCGATAAGTATTCAAATTGATTATTCAAATGTTGGGTTTTAATTTTTAAAAGGGATTTGTTTCTAATTCACATATTGGCAACAGCGCCAATATCAAGTTGAAATAATTTATACGTATCTAGATATTCTACTTTAAAAAAGGAAAATAATCTTTATAAATCAACAATTAAGGCAAAATATAAATTATAGTTCAATACCACCTCCACAAGCCACATAAACAACAGTTGTTTTATTATTTATTTATATAGAGGAAGATAGGTTAGGTGCACAAAATGTCATATGTCACAGAATGTCTCGGAACTCTGAACATAAGTAAACCTAACAGCACGCCTCTGAAATATGTCATCTTTGTTTGTCTCATACAGGTAACAGATTCATTGTCCTTTATTGGCTATAACCGATGTTGCCAAACGGTGAAATAGAAACGAATCCCTTTAAATGTTGAATGCATTATTTCATTCCTCTTTTTTAAGTATTCAAATAATTTTTTAAAGAAAAAGGTTGAAATGATAAGTTTAAAATGCGTTGTTTTAAAGCTCTTTTATAAAAACTACTTGATTTTCATCAGGAGAAACATTCCCCATTATATAAGTTATCGAGGTAACTTCTGGTCAAGTACCTATTTAAATGTTCCAAATCCAAACACGTCATATGCCAGTTGTCACTCTCACCACAGTATAGTGAACAATTCTGAGCTCTCAACTAAGATCATGGGTTAGTATTTTACTTTGACATTTGGTTCACTGTTTCCTTATCTAAATGATGAGTTTAAAATGCGTTGTTTTAGAGCTTTTATGAAAACTACTTGATTTTCGTCAGGAGGAACATTCCCCATTCTATGAAATAATGAGAACCAATAGAACAGCGAAGTTGGCGTTCAGACAAGAGATGGCGCGACTAGCGTGACACAGTGGTTGAGACACAGTTTTTCGTGCCAATTCTTTCGCGTGTCGCCAAAGACTTTGTTTGCACATGATTGCGTTTTAAGGTTTTATATTGTTTTTTTTTTTGTTGTTGATTTTTAAACTCAAAGTCTTGGTTGAGAAAGCGTTAATCGAGGCTGTGAGGGCATACAAAAAGTTGTATGACCCCAGCGATGCGAATTACATGAAAACAAGATGTAAAAACGGGTTTTGGAATGAACTTGCAGAACTCCATTTAAAAGATGGAAGTAATTAATAAAATCACCAACACTCATCTTCTTTGTTATCATAAGTTGTCCACAAATTTAATAGAACTGGCCAATACTTGATGAAAATCCATAATAAAACTTACTAACACAGTTTATTGTATGTAAGTAAAGACACAGGACGAACTCAGGCTTTTGCTTCAAGGACATTTGAGTCCAACCGTGCCCCCATGGTTCAGCCAAGCACCACTGATGAGATCTATGGCAGGTCGAAACAGTGCTGTATGGTGTTGGATCTCAAATGCTTTCATTTTGCGCTCTGGTTTCGAATAGGGAGAAAAACTGTCAATTTTTATACAGGAATCAGTATTATTCATTTCCTTTTCTGTACGATTTTGTGAGAGATTTATTTACTTCTACACAGTGGTAGATGAGTAAATATAACCGTTACATCATACAGTGCATTTCTTTAATGTCCCCCCCTTTTATTTTTTGAAGGGGTCAACACAAAAAATTGAAATTTGGGATAATGAAATTAATGCATGAATACTTTATTTTGAGGTGAAATTGACAGACGAAACTTTCAAGATGGCGACTGGGCGCCATTTGAGGAAAAAAATTAAATAGAAAGGGGGCCTTGTGACACATCATTTTGAAGCTCCTGACGAATACTTCACAACCCTAGAACATGAAGTCAATATCTTCACCTACTACAAAATGGCGGAAATTTTAATAATTGCCTGAATACATTGAGATTTAACTACATAATATGAGGTAATAAGCTTGAGGTCAGTTCAGAAGATGCTCGAAATGGTTGCCTTGAACTTCTTGACATATTAACAGCCTATCCGATATTTCACGCGGAACATTTTCGAACACAGTAACGTCAATATCTCTACAAATATTTATTATTATTATTATCATTCTCTGCCATATATCCAATATTGAAGCAGGTTCAGTTCCGTAGACTTTTTGCTTCAAATAGCCCCATAAAAAAGTCGAAAGGTGTCAAATCTGGCAAGCGGGTTGGCCATTCTGTAGGACCTCGACGGCCAATCTAACGACCGATAACAGATAATAGAAATTGACAACTATAGGCAGATTTCGTTGATTTCCTCCTTTTCAAAACTCTATGAGAAAATAATAGATGATAGAATTTTGATGTATATTGAACAAAATGACCTATTCTGCAATAATCAACATGGTTTTAGAAAGAGTAAATCAATTGAATCTGCATCTTATCAACTATTGAACTATATTTATGCACAAGTGGATAATAATAACCTGGTTTTTCCACTTTTTTTAGATCTATCAAAAGCATTCGATACTGTTTCTTCCAAATTTCTATTGAAAAAATTTCTAGTAATGGGCTTTCCCAATAATGTGTTGTGTTGGATAGAATCGTACATGGAAAACCGTAGTTTGGTGGTTAAATGTAATGGAATCACATCAGTTCCTTATGATGTGAAACTAGGTGTTCCACAAGGGTCTGTTCTGGGTCCATTGTTATTCTTGACTTTTATCAATGACTTGCCTGAATTCTTATCAGATTGTCACATAACTATGTACGCTGACAATACTACAATCACTGTTTCTGGAAAAAATGAGAATGAATTATCGATGAAAATTAATTTAGTTATTGACGAAATCAGTAGTTGGTGTCAACGTAACAAACTGATTTTAAATAAATCTAAGTCAGTGCTGATGAAAACATTTGTTAGGAGGGATTTCTGTTGTAAGTTAGTCACTTTGAATGACATAAAAATATCAAAAGAAGTTGATTTTCTTGGAACTATTTTAGATGAGAATCTCACCTGGAGAAGTCACATACAAAAAGTGTGCAGTAAACTCAATTCCGCTTATTATTCGATCAAACAGTTAAAACATTGTTTAGATAGGTTTGGTTTACTAAATGTTTACTTTGCGAATGCATACTCCCACATCAGTTTCAACATAATGGCTTGGGGATGTGCAAAGGAATTTTCTAGAGTTTTCATCTCTCAAAAACGACTGATAAGATTGATATTCAACGTGGGGTACCAAGAAAGTTGTAGACCCTTTTTCAAAAGAGAACGCTTGTTGACTGCACCCGCAATTTATATAATGAAAAGTGTCATTTTTGTGCACAGGAACCCTGACTTGTACATAACGAACTTGAGCACTCACGGTGTCGTGATTCTCGCCATGCTACTGCTCTGAGGGTCCCTTCACATAAGAGTGATCATTTCAAAAAATCTCCGTTATATAATGCCATAAATTTTTATAACAGCCTGCCACTTTCTATAAAGAGGTTGAATTCTGCAAATTTGTTCAGTATGAAAGTTAAAAACTTATTACTGGACAAATGTTACTACAGTCATAAGGAATATTTAGAGGATTCTTTCACAGAAGAATAATAAGATATATAATCGTTGTAATTTTTATAATGGTGCTTATTGCAATACAATATCCATATCGAATTCATTGGGATTCGCTTCGACGATTTCAGTGATGAGAGGGTCAACAGTAGTTTCCAGTGTATTCAAATACAGTTTCCCTGTTAAATTTTGATCAATAAATAGAGGTCCTACAATATGGTTTCCCAATATTCCTGCCCAAACGTTTATTTTTTCTGGATATTGGGTATGTGTTTCCCGGAAAACGTGAGGGTTGGTATCACTCCAATAACGGCAATTTTGTCTGTTAACATTGCCATTCAAAAAAATGTCACTTAAATAAATACTGTGGAGATAGGTAGGATGCCTTGCAATGGTTTCCGTCATGATTTCGCAGAATTATGTTCTTCGATCAGGGTCATCTTCAGTTAATTCGTGTACCATTTTAATTTTGTATGGATGATACTTATTCCTCTTCAAAAGTCTCCACAATTGCTTTTTGTTATTTTCTTGTTGTTGAATAAACATTATTATAATTTTGTAGTAGGTGAAGATATTGACATTATATTCTAGGGTTGTGAAGCATTTGTCAACAGCTTCAAAAAGATCTGTCACAAGACCCCTCTTTCCATTTTTTTTCCCAGATGGCGTCCAGTCGCCATCTTGAAAGTTTAATCTGTCAATTGCCCTTCAAAATAAAGTATTCATGCATTAATTTCATTATCCCAAATTTCAATTTTTTGAGTTGACCCGTTAAAAAAACAACAGGTGGGGGACATTAAAAAAATGCACCGTATATTCTCCAAAAAATTGTTTGTTTCCATTTGAGTTCGATCTCAACCAAACTGTAACCGCATTGTGTAACTTGAGACTGAAACCACACACATAAAGCCGTTAAAAAAATAATATTCGATTCTTTCTACAGGCACTGAGTTTTATAAATTTTAATTATCAATAAAGTAACAAGTTCGTATCAATAAATTTTCTAGATGGCGTTGACCAGAATTGGCTTCCAAATTTTTGTACTTCAACATTAATTTTCAATCAAATTGATTTTAAATTATTATAAATTCGGAAAACTTCAGCTGTAATATTCTTCGTTCATTTTGTTGCCTCAAACTTACTTCGTTAGAAAAATGGAATCATACAAGGTAGGTTTTTGGAAAGCCCCTCACAAATCGGCAACGACCACTTAGAAAATCCCTCACGTCACACATTAACGCCGCGGAAAAAATTCTCTACAGACTACACGTAATTTTGACCGTCCAAGGTGGTACCTACCAATGACTGCTTTTTCCAAGTCTCTATGTTCTTTCTCTGAGCCTTGGTGAAATGATCCCAGACCTTCTTGTGACACGCCGCACCGAACAATCTCTCAATTTGACCGACTAACAGCACACGCAAAGAGTTCATTAAGTAACTATTTCATATACCATCGTGAATATAAACAGAGTAACTGGTACATGGACGTATACCTTCAAGGTTTTAGTAGAATTTATTTGCAAGCGACACTTTCCATTATCCAAATTGTCCTATCCGAACTTCTGATATCATTTTGACAACCCTCTGTATCCCTCCGAAAAGTCTAGGGATATTTTTAAAAATGGCAATAATTTATTTTAGATCGCTTTAGGGAAAAAAAAGTTGACGAGTGATTATTAAACGAATGTAACTTACAACAAAATTTATTAAATGGTCAAAAATACTGAGTGCGCATACCGAAAAAAAATCATAATACAAAACAAATTGGAATCGGTACAAAGTATGGCCTCCACGCTGGTTTATTAAGGCCCTACATCTGTCGTGCATCGACAAAATGAGATTGTCAATGTCTTGTTGAGGTACATTTGCCCATTCAGCGATTAAAAGCTCTCTCAATTGAAACGTTGTGTGAATGTTCCCCATATGCGGAGTAATTCTTCGTTGAAGCATGTCCCACACGTGCTAGATGGGATTCAGGTCTGGTGATTGTGCTGGCCATGGCAATACTTCAACTCCTTCGTTGGTGAGCCAGTCAGTCACTAGACGCACGACATGTGGACGAGCATTATCGTGCATTAGGTGGAAGTTTTCACCAACAGCACCAGCAAACGGACGGACGATAGGTAGAAGAATGGTGTCGAGGTACTGTCGAGCTGTGAGGGAGCGATTTGGAAAAACGAGATCGGTTCTGTCGCCGATCATGATTCCGCCCCATAGCATTACTGTACCACATCTGTATGTGTGAACTTCTTGGACGTGTCTCAAACGTTCATTATTTCCAGGTCGTCTCCACAGTCTTACTCGACGAGAATCTGGATGAAATCCAAATCTGGATTCGTCTGTAAACAAAACTGTGGCCCAATCATTTGCATCCCAGTTTTGATGTTCTTGACACCACTCTAATCTTCTACCGCGATTGCCTCTCGACAAAGGTGGACATCTAAGTGGCCTTCTGTTGTGGAGATCTGCTTCATGCAGTCGATTTCTGACAGTATCACGACCAATGGTTACCTGGTGCGTCTGCTGCAACACGTTAACCAACTCAGGTGCTGTGATTGTCGGTTGTCTTCTTGCGGTTAAGACCAAAAATCGGTCTTGAACTGCAGTTGTAGCGCGTCCTCGCCCTGGATGTTGTTCGGCTGGACTGCCAGTTTCACGGAAACGCCGCCACAATCGACTGATAACACTTTGGGAGACCCCCAAATGAAGAGCTACATCATTTTGTCGCATGCCACCTTGAAGAAGCCCTACAGCTCTATTCATCTCAGCCAATGGTAAATGATGGCGTTCCATGTTAAAGCACAATATTTCCAGTTTAATTGCTGAGCAAGAACTGCATAGAATGTACAAACTCGACACTTTCAGATTATTCATTTTAGCCGAAAACCTACAGTTTGTAAAAAACTTGATAAAAGATTAGTTACCGTTTTTGCAGGCTTTGTTCAACCCATAGAAATCTACAGGGTGGTCGAGTGTACCAATTTAATCGAAATTAAACGACCTAATGCATTTATTTTTATGACATTTAGTATGTTATAAAAATATCCCTAGACTTTTCCGATGTGTGTATTTATGACTGTCGACTTCCACTGAGCCCGTTTAGTACCTCCTTGAAGGAATACGTTCTCATACCAGACATACTGAATACTGGGTAATTAGAAATTATGGTACCAAACATAGGTGCTTCTTCATAGAAAATATTAGTGAATTTCATTAAGAGGAGAACAGAAAAACAGTTTCCAGAAAAAAACCAGAGGGAGTAAAAAGAATCCCCTCAATAAAACGTTTCCTGGCACCATAATTTCCTTGTATACTCAATCCTGAAATGGTAGACCAAAGTTTGGTATCCACAACCTCCCTGTAGATTGGAGAGGAGCCTTCAATCTTAAGAATGTATACTACAGATATGATAATATACAAATATATATTCCATTATCAAACTAGAAAGCCGAAGTGTTTTGTAATAGCTCACACTCTTACATATGATTAATGATATAAAAGAGCCTTTTTTATTTAGTTTTTACAAACTTTGAAACTATTCGGAACTGATGTCGAATTGTACATTTATAATCAGAATTCGGCGCCCAACGTGGGACTCAAAGAAAACGTCACAAAGGTTACAAACTAATTTTTGTGCCTGTGATTCCCAAATGGCTCTTCTATGACTATTGAGAATGAAATATATACGAAGTGAATTAAACTATTCATCGTGAATACCTTTTGGAATATTTTGCCGGCTGATAAGTATGCCTACAAATACATTATTGAACCCATAACCTGAAAAAATGTAGTTACTCACCTTGCGTTAGGTGTCTTACACAACCTACGACCTAAGATCTAATTCCTCAGAATCACCCATTGAAAAGAGACGCACTTCACTTTGAGAAATGTCTATAGAAAAATAACTTAAACCTTTCAACCATTCTGTGATCACAGGATGGGTGGTTGATATTCTCATGCAATTCAAATATTTCGTCAATTTGTGCAAAATGAAAATGAGAAGATGAAAAAGACGTATGCCGGATAACATTTCCAGTTGAACCGAAACACAACTTATTGTTCATAGGAAGAATGATATATTAGTAGATTTATTGAATTACAACAAATATGTATCTCTTTGACAAACAATATAATACAATATATTCGTTCAATATGACCTATAACAGTTGAAAATTAATGTGAACCTAAAAACATTGCACTAATATCTATCTTAGTCATCAGTACATTGAATTCACCACTTGTTAGTTCTGGAAATTTAATTTGATCAGATCTGCTGTACTACTATTATGAGAGATCATTAACATGTTTATATCACAAACCTCACACATTACATTACACACATCACATCACACAACACACACATCACACACCACATCACGCACGCGGACATACATACACCACATCACACTCGCATCACACCACACTCGCATCACACCACACCACACACACTCACATCACACCACACACCACACGCATATCACTCACATCACAAACACATCAAACCAGAAATTCCACACATACATTACATTACATTATACACACACATCACATGACATCATATCACATACATACCACACACACATCACATCTCAGTCACACATCACATCACAGACACATCACATCACACACACATATCACATCACAGACCACATGCTATCACATTACACACCACATGACATCACATCACACACCACATGACATCACATCATACACCACATGGCATCACATCACACACGACATCACATCACATGACATCACACCACATCACACACCACATCACATCGCACACCACATGACATCACATCACACACCACATGACATCACACACATGACATCACATCACACATCACATCACACATGACATCACATCACACATGACATCACATCACATCACACATGACATCACATCACACATGACATCACATCACACACCACATGACATCACATCACACACCACATCACACACCACATCACATCACACACCACACGACATCACATCACATCACACACCACATCACATCGCACACACATCACATCACACACACATCATACACACATCACATCACACACACATCATACACACATCATACACACATCACATCATACACACATCACATCACACACACATCACATCACACCACACACCTTCCCGCAGGGTAACGCCACATCAATATGAAAGTATCTTTAGTGTACATAATGCAGTTTTTGTTTAAAAAACCTTGATTAATTGACATTCATTGTCTTGAGAGATCAAAAAAATCTTGTTGACAAACACTTTTGTAACTCGGCTATGTGTTGCAATAGAGGTAAAGATAAAAATATATCTGGAGATCTATGCCTAAAAAATATATAACATTACACATGGTAAAATGTAAATAAAATGAAGTTGATAATATAAGGAGAGAAAAGCGAATAAGTATAAATAAAAAAATTTGGTAAAAAATATGGTGAATCATCATAATATCCTGTTGAGGTATAGTGAACCTTGTCAACAAGGTGACGAAAACATTAAGACACTCATCGAGTGGACAGACACAAGCAGATCCGCGACTTGTAGGCATACTTATCGACAGCCTAGGACCCGAATGGCTCGTTCAATCGCCGTCCCTACTACAACCTGCCTGACCGACCAGAAAACAACAAATCTACTCACATTGCAACAGGATTCCCTGCATCCTGGCCCTCATAATATCCTTCGCCTTCCTCAGCTCCTCCTCGTACTGGCTCTTCTCGTTGAGGAGTCTCCGAACATGCGAATTCGTAGACTGGATCATCGAGTAGAAGTTGTTTGCGTTTCGTTTGTTGCAGTCGCCCCTCTCCAGCCATGTAATGACGGTCTGAAACGTCAAGAGCGAGTTTATATCGAGAACGGGCTCGGGAGGGATTCCTGTGTCATACCTGAACCGCTTTGGCAAACGAATCGTCCTGTTTTATCTTTTCCGAAACGGCGGCGGCTTCGTGGTCCGTGTAGTGGACGACTGGGGGTGGTGAGGGGGGTCTGAGCCTTTCTTCTTCCATCCTTTCACGGTGACGCTGCTCTCTTTGCAACTGCCGCTGTCTGCATTCCCATTCGTATTGATCATCTCTCGCCTAAATGAAGTGAAGTATTTATTGGTATCGTCAGCAAAGAGAAATATTAATGGTAGTATGCTGACAGATATCATTTATATATATGATAAACAATAACGGTCCAAGTACCGGGCCTTGGGGAACTCCATATTCGGTAGTTCGAAGGTCAGAAATAGAGTTGTCTGTTAGTTAGAAATAGAATGATAATAGTTTGTAAGGTACACCTCTAATGCCGTAACACTCTAACTTGAGCAACGTAATAGTAATACATTCCATATATTTATTTGTGGGATTGTTTCATGCTATGGAAAATGATACTGGTTTGCTGATAGACTGATCGAGTTAGGGGTATATTATATTTATCAAGCCTAACTGGTCTCATGATCTCTTTATATTTGCAGAAAAAAAGAACAATTCGAAAAGCAGGAATTTAAATTGGCCGCGTGTCTGTCGACCAATAAAATTGATCGTGTCTAGAGCGGAGTTGCCAAGTGTATTGATTTTTAATATCCAATCACAGATCTGATGATCGAATTTGACAGACGCCATTTTTGTTGTTATTGTTGTCAACTCGGCGTGAAAACAACTTTTACAATTATCTAATTAAAGAACGTTTTTCTTGTGAAAGGTAGGTCTCGGCGGGTGCCTATTTTACTGCATATTCCGTGTCATTAGTTTACATTCCGAAAAATATTTTTTCAGGTTATTTTTGGATTGAATTTTACCATTACTATCTTGGCCGAGCTAAAATAAAAATTAAATCAAAACTTTCCATCCTTCGATAAAATACAAAGTCTGAAATGAATGTCATATAAATAAAAGGGACCTATTAAATATACCACTTACCCAGTTACACCTCTCGAAGCGAAGCAGTAACTCGTCTTGATAATGCCATCTGAGATGATGGCGAAACGTCGACTATCGAATAGTACACAACGGATGAACACCCGGAAGAACAACACATCATATTCTACCATCCGTGAAAACCTACATTGTAATATATATATNATTGTACATTGACGTTTTCCTCTTTTTCATTTGTACTTCTGCTCCTGTGGTTATATAAATCAATCTGAGTAAATAAAGAGATTATTATTATTATTATTAAATTGAATATTTGAATTGATTCTTTAATCCAGTTTGTTTTGTTGTATTTTTTTGATTTTCATAACTGTATATTATTAAATAATGCATAAAATCATAGTTTAGGTAAATATTTTTTGATCTTTCGACTTTGCGTACTGATTTTAGATATAGAACTTATTTCCAAACATGATTTTTCGGGTACGTTTTATTCCATGTGGAAAATTTGTCATTAATTGAAACGTTAACGGGTTCATATACACTTCCATAATTGAATTGATAATTATAGGCTTCGTAAATTTTACAATTTGGCAATATTGATTATTTCTATTGTTCCTATTGGTCAATCGAACACGAAGCGGGAATAGGGCCGTAACGTCACCGCCCTACCACATTCGATTTTTAATAATTTATTACGGCAAAACTACGGTACTTACAGAGCTAAAACAAAGTGCACTGTTTCTCAATTTGAAATTTCTATCAAGTGAACTATAAACCAAAAATCATGAAACAAGCCCATTACGATATGTATTAATTTTCTATATTTAACACTTTCATCCCAAAATTGTATATTTTGTCCTGTAATTGCGTCTAGTGCCTGTTTGGACAATAAAGGTTTTTTTTCTATTGAGGAGAGAGGTTTTCTATTTTTTTTTAAATAATGTCAGGTTATTACACATGAACATATTTATCATCAACGCGGCCAAACCAAAATAAGATCAAGCAGTGATATTTTTATCAAGATCAAAACTTACCTGGGCATAGTCAACATGAAGCCTGCCAGTATTGGCAGTGTCAGCATTTGAACCGATCCTGACCCTGTATCCAGACAAAAAGATGGCTGCATCAACGGATGCTTCGTAGAGGAATCGCATGTGGCAGAAATACTTTTTGCTCAGACGAAGCGTTGTAATCTCTCCACACCTTTTAAAAATTTCAGGCATCAAACACATATATTCAACGTTTAAAAACATAATTTCTAGTTGCTGAAAAACTACGACTGCTACTGAATCACAGAATTGTGATTTCAAATGAATGGTATCCCCACAATGATTTTTTTTTAATTTATTCATTAATGGGTATCACCCAATTAAGTTTAAGAGATTTCACAATAAATTATATGAATATAACAAATAATTACATCTAACTTACTAATTTATTAATAAAGAATAACAGTGAGAAAATAAATTTACTGAATTGAAATATTAATTAAATAAACGAATGATTAAGATATGGAAAATTCAATAATTGAGGATGTTTATGTTTATTATCTATGATGACATCTACACTCATTTTAAAATTAAATTTGCAGAACAACAACACGGTTTTCT